TGTGTTAACCGATTCCGCTACCTTGATGCGGTGATCGAGCTTGCCTACCGTGATAAACCAATCGAGTTATACTTGCTGGAATAATCATTTCTCAAGGTCGTACCATGCCAAACAGGTCGGTTAAAGAACGGTAAGACTAAAAGCAGCTAACCAAAGGTCCGAAGGCGAAGTCGTACAACTGACTGTATAGAGGTGTGACTACAGCAAGATGTTTCCTCCAGACAAACAGCATAACAGCAATGCTGCCCTCTTACATGGAGGGGTAGGATTAGAAAAGTTGACTCTAAAAATGCACACCTTTTCGGATCCCACAGATATCCGTCCCCGGCGGTAAGGTCTCAACAACTATCACACTAACGCGAAAATTACAAAAAGGTCATGTGTGACCGACCTCAAGCAGTTGTCCGTTAGGCACTGCGTTCACACTCTCAGGTAACTAACACCACCTCCAATCCAATTTTCAGGTACTTCTAAAAGAACCCTTCCACAGTGTGAGCAACCGAGAGGGTATAACCCACCTCATAACTTAAGCGGTATTCAAGACCTCTGGATCCGTAGTCGATTCGCCCCTTTAATTCCTTAGACTGCGTCGGAGAGGCTCGGCAGGAGACTAGTAGTATTAGTTCTTAACCACATGGTCTTCGGGGCTGAACATATAATTACCTGGAAGTCTTTTTCAAAACATAACACTAAGAGAACGTCGAGAGTGGTGAAGGAGGCACATTAAGTAATCGGCATGGTGTGAATCAGCCTTGTAGGCGTGTTCACCCTTGTGAAACTCATACCATTCCCCAAAATATATCACCTAATTCCCAGCTAAGTTTGCTCTTCAGAAGTGCTGCACATTATATTGACGATTGCTATGATACTGCAACAGCGTAGGTTGGTTGGTTAAGAGTCAACCTCAAACAACCAAGCATATGCCAAAACAATATTGTTCAAGTATTCATTCATTTCCTTATTTTGTATAGGCGTTTTATTTCCTATTATCTTATATCGAGTAATGAGAGTCTTTGTTTGTCTGAACAAATAATCCCACGCTCCACTGTGACTACGCGAAGATCGAAATAAAGACCTATTCACTATTGTCTGGTTTCTTCTATCAATAGCACGACGGTTACCTTAAGGCACGAAAATACGATGAGTCAGGGTAGACAATGATATTACTTCCAGATGAGATCTTATAGACAGTCACATCATGACGAATCTACAACCTCAGGATTAGGTCTATTACTAACAACGATTTAAACAATAATTCTACAAGATTGCCGCTCGTTCTTGAGTACCTGTTTAGGCTGTTATCATGCACTAATACGAACCTGCATTTACCTGTCCTTCATTGGACGCAGAAAAACCGCATTATGAAGACATATTAATGTTAAAATAGGCAATGAGAAAGCCAGAAATAGATTCCATGAACAATTGAGACCACGCTTAGGTAGTTCTGAAAACGAGGCTGACCCCAATGTTGCTTGGAACGATATACGATGAGCTATTGAAAAAGGAGAGTCATCTAGTGATTTGATCCAACGGGTCACAAAGAACTAGTGGGTTTCCACTCAGTCTATCGCATTGATGGATTCTCGTGAACTCATCTCATTAGACTCTGAATATAATGAAGAGCGTAAATAAATCAGATATAGGCTAGCCAAAAGTATAAGGACCGACTGTGAGCAGTGGTGGTCAATGAAATCAAAATGATGGAAAAGGTAGTGGCTGTAACACTAGACATCTTTTCAGACTAACAAATGAAACTAGAATTAAGAAGTCAAGTGTAAGTAAGACGACCTTGGGAAAATAGGGCAATCTCATCTACTCTCAGCCCAAACGTTTAGAACGACGGTCGAAACATTTTAAGGAGCATTTCAGCTGACCTTCAACTATTCTACAGCTGCTCACCGTTTTCAAACAGCCTATGTAACGACCAAGATGCCAATATTCAGTCCGGACGCAGAACTAACGAACCATAGTTTATTCGATTAGACCAGAATGCGTTCTTCTGTATAGTGTACGAAGCGTTTTGAGTAACATTAAATTATATCAAAACACAAACTCTGCCCAAACTTAAATGGTCCTGATTTGGTAAAGAGAATAAATTATACCGAATGTACAAAATACCTCAAATGGCACAGCACATGCTATACAGTCATGGGTTTCTTTAATACAAACTAACGTGCTAAGCAACAAAAGCAATAGTTAGCCAACGAGAGTCCGATACTTGATATACTTGAGTAAAACAAATACATCTCAGGTCACAGTGGAATAATTATTATTCAATATAACAATTTCTAATTAGTAAAATGTCTTCACTACTGGAATATTTAGCTACAATTTATACTCTCCGTGATGATCACATGATCTGCATTCACTGTTTATCATCTTGTAATTTCTGATTTGACAGAAAGCATCGTACAACATCACCTATATTTGTGGCACATGAGCCTCTATTTCAAATAAGTTGATTTCTACCTTGTACCAAACAAGATTCTTGCAAATAATTTGTATGCATCATCAGCACGAAGTAAGATTATAAATAATCAGTTTATTACACATTAAATCATTGAGACTGTAGCATGTCTCTCGCCAACTCTTTCATGGTTAGCGAGTTATTGTCAAGTTTCTGTCGTGAATTCACATGATTATTAATATTTTAACATATTTAAAGGATTCTTGATGACAACTCATTTGTATTAGTAGTTTCATTAAATCATATCATGGAAAAACAGTAATAGGGTCGAGAAAATCTTGCAACTAGATAAACCGTATTAAACTTAACAAACTAACTGAAACACTACTTGGACTTACTTCTCTTCTTGGTTATACTCTAGTACCCTCAGTTGGTTTACTAATGCAGATGCGATTGGAAATCAACACAAAGACATCATACCAGCATAAACGTCGACTGACTTTTCAAGTTAAATTACAGATAATGCTAATTTCAACATCGTTAAAATATTGGTTGTTGTTCTATTTCTAAGCATAAAATACTTATACTTCCCCCAAGTTAGGCTATTAATCAATGGTTTATCCAGTGCACCTTAGCGTGATTTGATAAAATATTTCTGTTGTGAAACATTCCTAATTATTTAATCCCACTTTGTTTAACTCTTAAATGATATTCACACAGATTTTCATTTTTGAGCCTGTTTAGAATTAAACCTAACATTTTAGAATTATTACACGTATTTCCCGAACACTTCATACCTACTTATTTGTAACTTGTCTTTCGGTTCATCAGTACACAGAAGACGCTTATTATTTTGTTGATAAACTCCGACGTGTGATAATCCTATTCGACTTGGTATCGAACCAACGTCATGTCGATTGTGATGGGAGAGTAGTGTAGTAGTGTTGGTTTCTAACCACATGATCTTTAAAGCTGAGTGTATAACAGCTGAGAAGATTCATTTTAAATATATAGCAATAAGAGATGGTAAAGAGTGATGAACATCGGAGGAATTGATCAGTAAAGCATGGCTCATCCTTGTAGGCGTGGTCATCCTAGTAAGAAGTCCCTATTTACAATAAAATGTGTTATTCTATTCCCAACCGAAATGTGTTGTTTAGAACCGCTCTACACCGCATTGCCGATCATCACGATATGGCGCGTTGGTGTAGACAATGATGTAACTTCCACATAAGATCTTATGGATTAGATGGTCACGTCACAGCAAATCCACAATCTTGGAATTGAGTCTGTTGTTATACCAACAAAGATAAATGTACTAATGCAGAACGTGATCATAATTCTACAAATTCAGTTGAGCCTCAGAAAGATCTTACAACGATAGAGGAATGGGGAGTAGACAGTGGGTCAATACTTAGCCCACCGAAATATTGTGTCATGAACCTTTTGTCTCATTCGACACAAACCAATTACACCCTCCATGAAATTCTCTCCACATTGTCTTCTTAGAGAGTGATCTCGGGCTTTCAACTGCAGAGAGATTAGACAACAGCTCAAACTATACAGACAAAGGGTGCAACTACGGCAGACAGATCTTCTCACGTCATGTGATGACAACTTGACCCAACCACTTCACAGTTGTTCCTAAAACCGTTTAAGTCGTACTCACGGTCACACTTTAAAGTTCGTCAAGCCACCCCAGCATGAGCATAATACCCGAATCTCATCACCACGCTCCTCAAGACAACCCCTGAGAAACTGCACATCAAAGAGCAAACACCCAAATACTCTATCACTACGACCTAGTCCCATCTGTAATGCACTCTGAGACGAAGTGATCACAGCTCCTCAGAAGACAGCTTTAGGAGAGGACTTGACAAGAACATACACATGCATAGCCATCCTCCTGTTGGCTCAGCTGAACTTTATGAATGTTTCATAAATTATCACAACTATCATGACCGTATATCAGTAACCAACTTATGTGTCTCTTATTACTATCTTTGTTCCCCGTTTTATTCCTTCAATCCCGTCCCTATACAAATCACCAATTGCTTAACCTATTTGTTATTCTTGAAAAATCGTCTTCTATCAGAATTTGAATGATCACTTTATTATTTCCACATTGCGACCAATCAACTATCAGAAATGTGATATTTGCTGGCATCCAGGATCCATACTACCCCGAGACAACCGTGCTCACTTAAACTGCATGATGTACAAATCCATAAGTAATTACAACACTAGCTAGAATTAGTCTGTTGAGTGGCTGGACTATCACCCATTGAACATTACCAAGTGTCTGAAGCCATGACGAAACAACGAGAAGCGAGTGTAAAGAAATCAATCAGTTTATAAGAGCTCGTGTTAAAGAAAAATTTTTTATTGCAGACAGTTGTCTGCAATAAACCTAGGTTAATCCGAACGAGCTACAAATGACACCACCAAGAAAACAACATAATCCCAAAGTTTCGCTTTTTGAAGTAATTTGGCATCTAGGCAAAAGTAAGGATAGATTACTCCAAATTCATCTTGTTCCATGAATGTCATACAGTTGTTCTTTTAATCTACGATTCATTTGCTAAATGTACTCACTCTTTCATCTTCAGATGCGCTCAAATTGACTATGTAGATGTGTTGTTGTTTTATTTGTCATCTGACCGATGCTATATGATCATATTGATTGACTGAGGTATTAAACTTAAAAAGGGTAGATCATATAAATTATTCGAGTTAATAACATAGGTACTGGTAAGTAAAGTTTTTTATTGTTTGGGGGTTTTATGTTTGTTCATATAAAACTGCCTTATGAGTTATTGATTTATTTATTAGGGTCTTTATTTGTTGATTAAATAGTATATTTGAAAATTTTGTGTGATTCTGTTTCTGTTTCGATATCTATACGATGTTTTCGCCAATCAAATAACATCTAGAAAGAACATAAATGTTCTAATCCTATAGAATTACTCATTGCATAACAATGTCATTGAACTGTTTATATTTGAAGCTGCTTCATCATAACTTTATTTATTCTACACTCAACCGGTAGGGTAAGGATTCGACTGTTCGTAAATAAATAAACATGTAATTTTTGTATCTTGAAATTTTTTTTAGATTGTTGTCAGATTTTTCAATTGTAAAGAAAGGTTCTTAAATAAAGGTGTACTTTAAAAACGATGTAAGATCAGCATGTAAAGTGGGGCTTTAGGAATTATGTTATTTTCTTGGTGGTGCGTCATAGGTCTAATCGTGTGTCGCTTCTGGCATCCAAAAAGCGAGTTTACATTATGTTACCATTCAGGGGCAACTCAAATATTCTCGTGTTGAAACGGAGACTTAGCTCCATGGGATATGTATATGTTTTCGCTTTTTATGAGGTGAATTCCTCTGAGGTAAGGATCAGTCCTGACATGAAATATTTTGGACTGCAATTTAATAGTAAAAACATCTATCCATTATTTTGGATATAAGAATGATTTAAAGTTTTTGTCAAGTATCTTGATGGTGGAAAGAGTCTGAATGTATTAGATCCTCTGTAAATCAGAACCATTTTTTATAACTCTACTAACACAATGTGTGGCTGATGAACAAATGCATGCTCGTATATATTGTTCATTTAAATATGCCTGTCATTTTAAACTCTGGATTTTCCATATCATTAGTGCTTGATACTTTAAATTGTAAGTGTAATACTGACACAGTTTGTCTGTTGCTATGTATTCACATATGTCTTTGTTGTTCATATAAGGAGTTATCATTGCCCAATATCTATTGCTTGATCTTTTACAGTGAAGACAACTGTCATTGTTGAGTCAGTCTGTTTACATTAGTTTAAACCTTACCTAAACACGGGTCCATGCTGGCTCAAATCAAAACTGAACAAGAAGAAAAAGGGTGATTAAATAAAAAAAAATTGTAATCGATTTCTGCAAGTCTGCTTTGGTAACAGATTAATGGCAAGACCGAGCGCTTGTTAGAGCTTAATAAACAAAGGAATCCACTATTGTAGGTGCATCTTGATTATATGCAAAGCAGTTCATACTGGCCGATTAATTACTAATCATTTCATGCGTTGTAACATTTATAATATGGAACGATCCAATTATTTTTCTACCTTTACAGCTGGCTAAATATGAACATAGGACAGAGCGTTCCGCCTGATGGATTTCAGCCGGAATCTCTTAGGTCTGACCCTTTAACAAGACAATATAATAACCAATCGAGAGGATCAAATTCGAACTATACCTTAAACAATATTAATAATTACGAACAGGAAGAGAAACTAGCAAATAATATCAATGGACCACTTTATGCAGATTCGTCAGCAGTAACCAGCGTTATGAGTGATCGACAGTCACATGTCCCGAATCAAAGTCTTTTACCAAGTACTGGTCTTCATGCACGTACTAGTGTCACAACCGCTACTGGTGTAACCGGACTATCTGGAATAGCTGGCATAGCTGCGGCGGCCGCAAATCAACAGGGAAAGCCTCTCAATTTAGCTGCTCTTACTTTGGCTGCCCAGTCTGTTGCCGCCAAAAAGAGAGCTGGAGCTAGAGCACAAGCCGCTAATACGAGACCAGAGCGTACTTTATTCTGTCTGACGCTTAGAAATTCTTTGAGAAAAGTATGCATAAAAATTGGAGAATGGAAGTATCCTTTATATAAACGTTTCGATTGAAATAATTTTCGAAAAAACAGATTTGCACTCCATAAACGTTAGCACTTACATTTTTACAGGTCATACTGGTATACTTTTACTATCGTTGTAATGCTTAGTTTGAACCTGTGGCAGCATCAGGCGAGATATTTACAGTTTTCTTCTTCATCCTGATGATGAAACCGATTTTTCACAGAAACTAACAACTCATTCTGTTGACATGCGTCACTGATTTGATGTATGCTGCGTAAATTTAAGTCGTTTTGATTTACTTATCCTTCATTCAATATTAACATACTTTTGTTGATACGTTTAAGATACCAAACAAAATGAACCGTCATTTGTAATTCATATCGTCTGAAGGCTATCATATATAATACAAGTCCACATGTTTGTCAATGAATTGGTTGCGTTGTCGTGCAAACCAAACACAGTTGCTCAGAGCATTATTTTGATTACTTTCAAGTGCTCGAGAAATATGTGCTGCACTAAAGCACACCACTACCACTTCTCGTCCACGGTTTCGTATTCTATTAGCATTATTGAATATCTGTCGTGAACTTATGCACTGCAACGTGTGCATGTTGATTGCCAAGACCACTGACTCCTGGAATCATTTGAGTCAATAGTTCCCAGGAAATATACATAGAGTACAAAGTTCTGTGATACATGACAGTTTCGTCATAAATATTACATGAGTGGTGTTGTGAGTAAAGGGTGAGATTAAACGATCCCACACACTTTATTCATGGTTTAGGACAAGAAGATTGGGATGATTATATGGTTTCCCTTAACACAATATATTTGTACATGATTAATTAGTGTTGGTAAACAATTTGATAAGGTCTCTTTCATATATGATAAAGTTAAACCAGCCTACCTAAATGATTGATGCAGAACGACGACTTTGTATGTCCTCTAGATTAAAGGTGAGTCTAATCTACCTCAACTAACTGATGATGAGGAACCGACTGAATACTACAGAGAAAGTGATAATTTTGAATGTATGGTTGCTACCAGTGGAAGAAATGTGTCGATATGCAAAACAATCTTAAAAGGGGGTCCGTATGAAAAATTTTGAAATCAACATTATCGTTTTCAGTAATACATGACTATACAACGATTGAAAGTTTGGAGTTAATAAGTCATTTATTTAATTATTTTCGCCTGTTATTCGTCGTGAGACGTAGACCAGCTACTAGGGATTTCTCACGTAACTTATTCCCGGCTCACTTTCTTAGTGTTTGCGAAGTGTTTTTCATGCTTTCAATGTGTAACCCGAATTCTCGACGCGATGTGTTCATTGGCATGCCTCTTTTCTTCTTCCCTTGGAGACTCAAAGTTGGTGGTTGCCTTGTAATGCAGCTCGGTTTCCGTAGTGTTATCTATCCACCTACATTATATATTCCTAATTTCCTCTTCATCTGGGGGCTGGTTGCTGACGGCATCTGGCCAACGGATCTGGAGTATAGACAGTTTAGACAGCTGTTTATAAATGCCTGTACGTTTTGATGATAGTTGTGGTTTTTCAAAGCTCTTCACCGTACAAGTGAGATGTTTTAACTTCGGTGCCGAGAATTCTGACTTTGGTATTGTGTGACGGTTGTTTAGGTGTCCAGATGTAGTTCAGTTGCAGGAGTTCCCCCTCTTCTTTGCCAATCCGTTCATTTACACCCTCCTTGCTTATCAGTGATGCTGTCCAGTTACGCAAAGTTTCCACGCCTTCCAGAGCTTCTCCATCAAGAGTGATTTGATTGGCGCTCATTGTGTTGTGTTTGAAGGCCTTGCCTTTCCCTCGTGAATGTTGTGGTCTGTTGTTGTAGAGGCTGCAACTGCAATGGTCTTCTTCATGTGCACCTGTTTCTGTGTGCGGGATGAAAGGTTCTTTTATTCATGCTGTCGAATGCCTTCTCATAGTCAAGGGATTTAATGTGTACTGATGAATCCCATTCAATCTTTTGCTTAACGATGATCCTAAGTATCGTGATTTGGTCGATGTTTGCGAACTCCAAACTGTTGGGCGTCTACTGGATCTTTCATTCGGTTCAGCGACAGTCAGTTGAAAACTTTGCCTGGTAGTGATAGCATTGTGGTGTCTGTGTAGTTGTCACACTAACTAATATCTTGATGAGGTATCCCCCTTTTACCAATCTTCTGATAATTGCTCTTCTTCCCAGATCTTTCTGAAGAGAATGTGGAGCATCTTTGAAGCTGTGTTTACGCTTGGTTTCAGTGTCTCGTGTCAGCTTGTTTGTAGTCTGGCGGCCATGCCGATTCACGACTAGAGTACAACGACACTTCTCTCGGGTTAATATTTTCTGTTCAGGTTGAGCCCAATAGGTTTCACTTATTCAAAGCACCTTCAGGTTGTATCTTCTCATTTAGACCGCTACTTGAATGGTCTCCCACATTGAGCAGATATTCCATGTACATATATTAATTGTTGATCTAGTTGTCGAAAGGGGCATCAGCCTCATGACATCTGAAGAATCTTGGCTTTCAGCGTGAAGTGTTATAACTCCTCTAAATGAAGATTCTTCAACTCCCAGAACAGAGTTTAAATGATTTTGTTAATTAACGTTTTTCAACACGGTTATTTTCTACAGTATGGAGTTGCCAACCCCATTCCCAATCACCATCCACTATCTGGTCTGGGATTGGTAGTTACCCTAGACGTGTTTAATGTTATGCTGTGTTATCAGTTGGATGCTTTCATGTTAGAAGTATTCTTAAAACTTTATGGCATCAATCTCTTAGCTCTCTAGTGTGGTGGTTAAGACTATATTTCAACTGTCTGCTTTACATTAATAAATAAATCAGGTATCATATGTTGTAAATTTATTGGTTTTATTGATTTAAAGAGGAAATTTTTTTCTATTATCCGGCTTGTAACCTTAATTTCAACCTGATAGACCATTTGAATACCTTATTCTTCTTACAATAATGGCTAACTGTTGTGCACTTGGTGCTATAACACCATACCCTGATGGGGATTCAAATACTCTCAATCACATATTGGTAAGTGTTTATGTTAATTTTATTATCCCAAAATTTTTTTGTTGTCAATTCTTTGAGTTTATATAGATTATTGAAACATATGTTTGTATTTTAAAGGATGTTATTACAAACAATTATAATGACTAATTTTTCTAAAGAATGACTATTTTTTTAATAGTTGAGATCATGAGTAAATTGAAGCTAGACTATCACGGAAAACCTGAAAGCACTGGACGACTGTTTCGTCCTAGTGTAGGACTACTCAACAATAAGCATCCACGATTCCACCTCACGAGATTCGAAACCAGGACCTATTAGTCTCACGTGCGAGCGCTTAACCATTAGACCACTGAACCCGTCCAGTGCTTCCAGGTTTTCCATGGTGGTCTAGCTCTAACTGACTCATAATCTCAACTATTAGAATTACTATAATATCTACAAAAAACCCCTTCTGATATTATTGATCATCGTGTTGTATGTCTTGTCTATTATAATTGTAAAAATAAAATAGATTCGTTGAAACAGGCATAACAGCTTTGTAGATTTTTATCAAGAAACCTTTGTATCTAATATAATCTATAAATAAAATATAAGATGTTTCTTAATTGATATTACTTTTCTGATTTAAAACTTGAACTTGGTTTGTCTTATTAAATGTATAGTTTACTTAAAGTATTCATTAAGTAGAAATCCATTAAAAGAAAAAGGGATTAATGTGTAGTATCAGTATACGATGAGATTATAATCTATGGACGACCGTTGAGAGACGCTAAAGTGATCTTGAGAATGTCCACATATTAACTAGAACCAAATGAGGGTTATAAACCATGATGAGGAACTAGTAATAAGATTTACTGTTGACGGTTAAGGGTTAGGAATTCGATTTATGGTTTTTCATTACGAACTGATATAAGTTAAAATGCCAAAAACGCTCTTTAACCAAATGGATGAATGAATTTCATGCCAAAATTCAAGATTTTTTATTTTATATCTGATTGGTTCATCCATAAATTATAGTCTCGTCACTCATTTTTATTTTTTGTTCTAAGCTATTTAATGCTATTTTGTTTTCATGGTTGTGCAATGTATATTAATTTGAAGTAAATCCAACGTTTCGCCTGGCAATCTGATCCAAGCTTTTTCAAGGAAAATAAATCTAATATGTTTAAATTTAACTATTGACTGGATAAGTAAGTCTGATATAACTCAAGTTACAATACATGAACTTAATAAGTAAAGAATGATAGTGGTTAGTAGTGGAATGCAGAACACGCGTTTCGTCCTATTTGGGACTCGTCGACTGAATGTACCTGTATTTCAGAGTTGATTTCCAGGACGAAATGTGCGTCCTAGATCCCATTGTTAGCCATTATCCATCTTTGCTTATAGAGCTTGTGACTTCAGGTAATATCGAGACAGTCCGCATAGAATGCACATATGCCAACAAAATATTACATCCTAAATGAAAATATTTTAAAATTTTTTTCTTTTAATTTTCAGGAAAAAATTGAAAATGTATTTATTGTTATCTTTACTGTGGAATGTGTTTTAAAGATTATAGCTTTTGGTTTTGTTATGCATCCAGGAGCATACTTACGTAATGCATGGAATATACTTGACTTTACTATAGTTATCTTAGGGTAAGTTCGGAACATTTGGTGAGTTATCAATACAATATGTGCTCAAAATTAACAATCAGTTTTTTTATTAAATGTAGCTGATTAACTGAACTGATAAATAACTATCTTCAGAGAGGGACTTTGTGGAGATTGTAGTAATTTAATAAATGAATTCATGAGTCAACTGAAGCTAGACCACCATGGAAAACCTGAAAGCATTGGACGGCCTTTTCGTCCACGATCTCACACACGGGATTCGAACCAAGGGTCTTCAGTTTCGCGCGTGGACGCTTAACCTCTAAAACATTGAGCTGGCCGACATCCAATGGTGTTAATTTCTAACTCCAAACAATCCACGAGAAGTCCTACAATAGGACGAAACGGCCATTCAGTGCTCCCAGGTTTTCAATGGTGGTCCAACATCAATCAGTTCATGATCTCAATCAAAAACTTAAAAAATCCCCACAACCTTATACTGACAATTTATTGATTTCGCTAAATTTTTTCGTGCCAACCAGTACCGTTTTATTTTAATTAGAATCTGAGACTGATAAAACCTATTACTGTTAATAGTTATTGATGTATGCAGATTCAAATAAACTTTTGTTGTATTCAGTAAGTGATACATTTTAACTTGTACTAATTTTTGTATTATTTGTCTCAATATATATGTATATACATATGAATAAATAGTCTGTAGTTGAGTTACCGGTTACCCGATGAAATCCTGTTGATAAAATGCAGAGTCTTTTGATAGCACTGAGCAACAATACCAGGATGTTTGGGATGCGCTTCCCCCTCTCTAAATTCAAGTTGTTGCTTCAAGACTGGCTTGCGTCAACAACTGAACTAAGGATAGGGAGTGACGCAGTCGAATGCGTTGACAACTTCACTTATCTTAGAAGTCTGATCAGCCCTAATGGGTGTTTGACGAAATCTTTTCACGGATTCGAAAAGCTCGTCTGGCGTCTACCAAATTACGTCACCTATGGCGAAGGCGAGACATCCGTCTGTCAATTAAGGGACGAGTATACTGCTTTGTAGTTTTATCTGTTCTACTTTACGGTTGCGAAACGTGGCCATTAAAAGTAGAAGATACTCGTAAGTTACTAGTATTTGACCACAGAAGACTTATAAATATTGCTCGCATCTGCTGGGATTACTGGGTAAGTAATAGTGAGGTTATGTGCAGGGTATTAGGGAATGATGGTAAATCAGTTGATGAGGTTGTGAATCTTCATCGACTGAGATGGTTGGGTCACGTGTTACGTATGACTGAACACTGATTACCATGACGCTCAATCCCGACTAGTGTTGGGAATGGTTGGAAGAAAGTTAGGAGCGGCCAAACGTAAACATGGCATCAGTGTTTGAAGTCACTAACTTCCGGTCTCAGCCATGTTGGCAAATGCAAACCACTTGGTTGAGATCCGTGCGACTATCGTAACCAGTGGTTGGAGATTCTGGGTGACATGGCTCAGAATCGATCACAATGGCGTCGGTGTATACACTCTTTGTCTTCCCTTAAACTATGAGATTAAAGTTACTTTATATCTTTCTTTCTACGATCTAATTCTTTTTTTCTGTACTATATTCTTACATAAAATCTTTCCTTTATATATTACACCATTGATTAAACTGCTTCTATGAACCCGGTGTTCTTCTTGCTGTGCTAATGTGAAGTGTGGCAACTTGGACCAATACATGTATACTCCTGGTCTTACGTTGTAACTGACTGACTGACTTTTTGACGCTTAAGAAACCAAAATTGCTTGAATCTTATAATTTAAGTCCATAGAGTTACATTGTTTTATTCACTTACAGTCAGAAATGAAAGTTTTGATTATGAAAAATTAAGCGATAAATAATTTTCCAGTTATGTTCTAATCTAATAATTCAACTTTTTTTGTTTATTTTTGGCGTACAGACTTTTACAACCACTTATTCAACAAATGGTTGAACAATCTGGTGTAGATGTTAAAGCACTTCGTGCTTTCAGAGTGCTGAGACCACTTCGTCTTGTATCTGGTTTACCAAGTATGTAATGCATACATCTTTATTTATTTATTTATTTTTGGTATCATACTTATCTTTCTGTACAACATGTTTACATGTCGAAACAATTAGTCTTTTTAGTAAACAAAATATATCAGAAATATGTAATATTCTCCTGCAAACTACTTCGAACAGATTGGTCAGATATTAACTTGTTAAGAGATCTGTATGAGAAGAAAGGTAAACATTATAAACTAAAAAACTGTAGAGGCTAAAATTAAAACCTCTATTATTAGGATATGTTTGTTTTGAAATTTTATTTATTTATTTGAACACATAAATATTGGTAAAAAGGGGCACCAGATACATATGCGCCACACAAATCTCATTTGATATGTGTGAGGGCTGTGATAATATCTAGGTACCCAAACTGGAGCAGGTGACTTTCTTAGGGGGCCACACCCGGAGCCTTCGATCTAAAGGTCTGATCCACAAGCCAGTGGAGCGTCGTAAGGAGATGCATTCCCATGGTAGCCGGTGACCAGCAATTGGTTCATACGCCATTTGTTCCCTCAGGATACTGGAGCCCATGTGCACCATTGGTTTAGAATCAGGGTTTTCCAACTCCCCTAGGTGAACTCTCCGTGTCCACCAACCCGGTTAAATCTCTGGACATTTGCTTCTCATCCTCTCAATTCCGTAAACAACACCCCCTTCACGACAAGGTAGTGAGTAGTACCTCATTGATAGTAACTATATACGTGTGGCTATGTGGGAGCATTTGGATAGGGAGAGTGGACTCCCCACTCTCGGTCGTATCAGGGCATTTATGTGCCGGATATGTTTTGTTTAAGTACAAATTGTTTCTAAACACACTTCATGGTTAGAACTTTTGAAAACTTACTTATTTACCCTATACTACTTATATAGAAAATCAATTCTCTGACTTGTTTTAGTTGACTTTGAATAGGAGAAGATTAATGTCTGTCGTTTATTCCTAATGAGGTAGTGAAATTTATTTTTTCTTTATGTCACGTATTTGGATGCACAACCATTCGCTGAGTTAAAAAAGTCTTCCTTATATTTGTGTTTACACACATATGGAAACTGGTAAATACATATTTTACTTAGGTTTTTCATGACACATTGAAATAATGACCTTGAATTTATGATATCGTTTATTGATAACTGAGTTAAGACTTCATCAAAACAAGGCTATTCGACTGAACTCTGAATAGGGGGGGAGATGACGTATATTTTGGTTTCAAATGCTTTAGGTCAAGCAGAACTCAACATAATCCGGTCTTTCTATAAGTTTGTGAATTTTAACGGACATCTATTTTTTCATCAGAGTTCCATCTAATAACTTCATATCATCTTTCATTAGTATCGATAGTAAAAACATGACCAATCCTTTATCAAACCTTGTTTGAACTGAATGTAACAGTTAACATAGCTATTAAAATAAAGTTCTTTCGATAAAAATATTTTTTGATTTGTATTTGTATTGATTGGCTCAATTATTTACTTACTCACTTACAAACGCCTGTTACTCCCAATGAAGCATAGGCCGCCGGCCAACATTCTCCAACCCACTCTGTCCTGGGCCTTCCTTTCATGCTCTATCCAATTGTTGTTTATTCTTTACATACATGTCTCCATTCCTCGGTGTAATGTGTTCTTTGGTCTTTCTTTTCTCCTTTGGCCTTGAGGATTCCAAGTGAGGGCATGCCTTGGGACGAAATTGGGGATTAACGCAATAAACTAACTATAATCATAACAATAAAACAGAATGCTAAATAATAAAAGTATTTTAGAAATATTCAAAATAACTGACAGATATCTTAATAAAAAAAGGAATGAGATTTGGGCATACTGTTCATAAGTCAATTGCCTTTGTGTATCTAGTATGAAGTATTTTAAACAAAGGTGCATAGTGATTAGTAGTGGAATCCAGAACATGCGTTTCGTCCTATTTAGGACTCGTCAGCTGAATGTATCTGCATCCAAGAGTCGATGTTTACTCCGAAACTTTATTGATTGATAAGAGTTAATTTTTTTTGGTTATATGTGAGTATGATCAATTTGTTCCGGTTTATAGTTGTTTTATTTCACTAACTTCACACTTACCTTTTTTAACGAGTGATCTCTGGGATAAATATGTATTGATTTTTATAGTTGAATTCATGAGTTGATCTAAGCTAGATCACTACTAAAAACCTAGTATTCTAGCTTAAATCGATACATAATTTCAACTACGAAAATTACTATAATCTTCACAAATCCCTATTCTGAAATTTGTTTCTTATTTGATCTCTTCAATGAATAAATGTACTAAAGAGAATAATTACTGTCACTCAGTCAGCAACAACGTGGAACTTCGTAAGTACGTACATCAGTTCAACCTGACATGCCACATTAGCACAGAGATACAATTTTCAATTCAGATCTCATAGTGGTAGAGGTAGTAAAAGTATAAGCAGTAATCGGAAAGACTAGGGTTTGAAGATGTTATTCAAGGAGTATAATCCAGCGAAATAAATTTGGAAATAGAAAAAAAGGAATACGAGGAGTTCAGAAGATTAGAATTTGAAAGGACGCAAAAAGTGAGGGCACCTACGCCATTGTAAACGATTTTGAGCCATATCATTCAAGGTCTCTAACCATCGGTCGAATATGAAATATTTCCCTTTATAAACAACCACTTAGAAACAAGTTTGCTTTTACATCTTGATAGTCAAGATGTATTATTAAACAGAAGGTTCCAAAGAACATTCGAACAATCTTGATTTCTATCCATCCATCCATCCTAATGATTTAGAACCAATTTAATAAGTATCAGATCATTTTGTTATTATCAGGACTCAGTAGCTGAGTGGATAACGCGATGGCGTTTGAAGAGAATGGTGCTGGGTTCGAGTTCCGGAGTGAACATCAACTCTGAGATGCAGGTACATCCAGCTAACGAGACGTAAATAAGACTAAGTGACTCGCGTCCTGGATTCCACTGCTAGTCCACTATCCATCATTGCTTACAAAAAGCTTGTGAATTAAAGCAATATCGAGGCATACTCACAGTATGCACATATGCCAATAACAGACTGATCAATTACAGTGTTAAACCTCAATGGGAAGATACAAGCCAAACAATATCAAGTGAATTATTGTTATTATTATTATTATTATTATTCATAATTGTAGAAGTTCCAATAGTTCGAATCCTATTATCCTGTCTGATAGTTACCAATAATTTAAACTTGAAAAATAAAAAAAATACGTTGCACACTTTTCAAATGACTTTAATACAATATATTTTCATTTCTTTTATAGGTTTACAAGTTGTATTAAATTCTATAATGCGTGCTATGGTTCCACTCTTACATATTGCACTTTTAGTTATCTTTGTAATAATTATTTATGCAATTGTTGGTCTAGAATTATTTTCTGGTAAATTACATGCTACATGTTATGATTTTGTAACAGGTTAGTCATTATTGGTTACAGTTTATATGTTACTTAAATTTATTCAACTTAAGCTTTAAAAAGATAGTGTGGCACATGCTACTTATATTGATATAAGTAGTATATGACGCGAGTCAGTCGTGTAATGTCTTGCAGCAGGAGATGGGGAAGATCAAGAAAGGAAGAGAGGGAATAGAAAACAATTAGTATGGAAATGCAAGTACAATAAATTTCGAGACAAATATTGAACATTTTGCAAATTAAGTATTACAGTATGGTTTTTCTATTTTACCAAGTAACTCTGTAATTTTGTGTTGAATATAATTCGGTTGTCCTTACCTGTGTTATCCTTCACTACAATAGTAACGACAATATGATATCATTTGATGATTAGTACTATTCACATTATTATTGCTTGATTTAGAATACCTTCTGTTTATGCACCTGATTAACATTTTACTCAAATTGAAGTGCTGTATAAAGTATGCATACCGGACGTTACACCGGTATAGGAATAGGATATTCAAAGGAAATACAGTACTCTTGAATTGAGACGCAGATAATCATAGTCTGTACTAAAAATTACCTGTATCTTAAATCATATTATCCTTATTATTAATTAAGAAAAATTCTTATTGTTTAATTCAAGGTGAAATAGAGGATAATCCATCACCATGCAGTTTAAATCAACGTGGTGCATTGTGTACAGGTTCAACAATTTGTTATGATTTTAAATTGGATATGAGTTATGCAGCTGTTGCTGAAAGAAAACAACAAGCTGAAGCTATTTTAGCTGGAAATATTACACCACCTTTACCGCAACCAGAAAGATGGGTTGGACCAAATTATGGTATAACTAATTTTGATAATTTTGGTTTATCTATGCTAACTGTATTTCAATGTATTACTATGGAAGGTTGGACACAAGTTTTATACTGGGTTAGTTATTTTATTTTATTTTATTTTTTAAAATTATTTATTTCATCACTACCATTTATATGTAGTTATTCTTTTGTCAGTCAGTCAGTCAGTCAGTCAGTCAGTCAGTCAGTCAGTAACAACGTAGAACTTCGTACGTACGTACATCAGTTCGAGTTGCCACACCACATTAGCACAGAGATGCACTTGTCGATTCAAATCCCGTAGTGGTAGAGGTAATAAGAGTATAAGCAGTAATCGGGAAGATTAGGGTTTGGAGATGTTATTTAAAGAGTATAATCCAGTGAAACAAATTTGGAAAGAGGAAAAACGGGACATGAAGAATTCAGAAGATTAGAATTTGGGAGAACACAGAGAGTGGATGCACCTGCGCACACCATTGTAAACGATTTTGAGCCATGTCATTCAGGGTCTCTAACCATCGGTTGCTGTCATCTCGCGGTCCCCAACCAGGTAGTCTACACCTACCAACATGACTCAGTTCACTTGTCAGTGACTTCATGGACTTGTGCCATGTTTTGGTTTGGCCGCCTCTAGCTTTCTTCCAACCTACTCCTATACCACTGAACATAGCACGTCGAGGCAGTCGGTCGTTGGGCATACGTAACACGTGTCCCAGCCATCTCAACTGATGAAGTTTCACTACTTCATCAATTGATTTGCCATCCTTACCTAGTACCCGTTTCCTAACAACTGTGTTACTTACTCGATGGTCCCATGATATAAGACACTAGTAACCTACGGATGTCCTCTACTCTTACCGGCCATGTTTCACTGCCATAAAGTAGGACGGAACGAACTGCTGCGCAGTAAACACGTCCTTTGGTTGATAGACGGATATCTCGCCTACGCCATAAATGACGCAAGTTGGCAAAAGCTAGTCGAGCCTTCTGTATCCGTGCTGAGATTTCGTCACACACCAAACCACAAGGGCTGATGAGACTTCCAAGATAAGTGGAGTGGTCGACACACTCAATTACTTCACTCCCTATCACTAGTTCGGGTGTCGATGTAACCCAATCCTGAAGCAACATTTTGCATTTCGAGGGAGAGAATCGCATCCCGAACATGCTTGCATTGTTGCTTAGAGTGGTCAGAAGACTCTGCATTTTGCCAGCGTCTTCACCAAATAAAACTATGTCATCAGCATATTCTAAGTCAACAAGTGAACCTCCTGGTAGAAGTTCAACCCCTGGAAATTTAGATGAGGCGAGTGTTATCTCTAAAAGTACGTCAATGACAAAGTTGAACAAGAATGGGGAGAGTGGACAGCCCTGACGAACACCACTTGAGGTGATCAATTCTGATGACAGTTCGCCATAAGCTCTCACTCTACCAGTTGTGTTCGAGTAGAGAGCCTTTATAAGGTTAATGTACTTCTTTGGTACTCCTTTCAGTGACAAACACTGCCATAGAACCTCACGATCAATAGAGTCGAATGCCGCCTTAAGGTCGAGAAATACTACCATTGTGGGGCGTCTGAATGTGTGTCTGTGTTCTAGAACCTGACGTAGTGTGAATATCTGATCTATACAACCACGTCCAGGTCGAAAACCAGCCTGGTTTTCTCTAATCTGCTCTTCACGAGCTTTAGTTAGGCGTTGAAGTATTATTGAAGCTAATATTTTAGACACTATATTAGTCAAACTGATTCCTCTGTGATTGTCACAAGAGGACTTTTGTCCTTTCTTAAAAACTGGCGTTTTTATCTAAGCTGATTGACTTTTATTGATTGTTGTTTCACTGACAATTACCTGGAGAATCATCTTACAGTACTGGCTAAGGTATAGTAGTTTTTAGAACTATGATAATGAAATAAATTGGTAACTGGATTTGTTGGACAATGTTAATTACTTGTAAATGCTTTCGTATTTGCACTGATTTCAATTTAAGGATATATATGAGATTATGACTATTTTTTCTAAGTAAAGCGGCTTAGAAAACAAAACTCCATCAAAATCATCCACCTGAGCTACAAATCTTCTCAACCACACTAATTTGATATCTTCAAAATAATTTAATTGTCGAATTCATGAGTCATTTGAAGCTAGACCACCATGAAAAATATGAAAGCGCTAGACGGCCGTTTCATCCTAGTATAGCACTTCTCAACAGTGCGCATCCACGATACCGCCTCGCGAGATTTGAACCCTGGTTCTATCAGTCTCGCGCGCGAACTCTTAACTTCTAGACCACTGGATGGTATCCAACGGTGTGAATGTCTAAATTCAGCCAATCCATGAAATTGCGCCACCGTCCACCATTGTCTTCAGTGAGTTACTATCTCAAAACAGACCCGGTTGGACTCCACAGGTCACTGCTTCTCACTAGAACTCCAGGAAATACCTCTTGGAGACCATCAGCCTATGATAATTATAGTCAGAGAGGGGTTTTGTGGATATTGTAGTAATTTAATAGTTGAATACATGGTTATATGTAGAATCATATTATAACAAGTAATTGATACAGATAACTAGAAATATGCGTATAGCATATTATTTTCTGAATTTATTTTTCATATCAGACATAAATAGTGTCGTTGGTATGATGTTTACTTTTATTCTTGGTATTCCCTCATTAAATTCCTCATGGTGTATTGATATAAAGTATTTGCAACTTATATCTATATGAATTTCTTCCGGATCTTACATTGTTTATGACTGACTATTTAAATGTAATGTGGTGTGGGTTACTTATATCCACACAAGTAGTATATAACGGTGGTCAGACATATAGAATGTATTTCAGTCTAAGATCGAGAAGGAAAGAACGGGAACGCAATGCAATTAGTATGAAAACGTATAAACAATGAAATCTGAGACAATGGATTGAAGTTTGCAACAGGAACAGTCAAGTTTGATATGATGGATTGATATTTTGCAAATTATCTATTTACTCAATGGATCTTAGATTTTAGTGGGATGCTCTGTAATTTTGTGCTCAGTTACATTCGATTGTACCCCCTCGTCTTGTTGTTCACTACAGTAACTGTCTACTTGATGATTTCATATTTACTCATAATTTTCCCTTACTCTTCATTAAGAGCTTTGTGTTAGATTTAATTTTGTCTGGTACTAAATGCTTTAAACTTTTAAAAGTGATAGTCATTTTGCTAAATATTTAAGTAATTAGCTTAAGCTGATCAAATTTCTGTCAAAAACATCAATAATGAACAATCCAAATCAATTTAAATTGAATTAAAAATCATACACGTTTAACAAGTGAATGGCTATCTGGAATTAGTGGTTAAGTTCATAATTCAGTGGCTTTTTAAGCGAATGGTACTAAGTTTGAATCCCGGAAGGAACATTAACTCTAGGATTCTGGTGGGGAGAACTAGCTCTCCCCATAGAAATTCTCTCACATGGACACACGTATACAGCCACTGTTAGTGAAGTCCTACTCACTGCATTCTCTCAGCATTATTGTTGTTTACGAAATTTAGAGGACGGAAAGCAAATGTCCGGCGCTGTAACCGGGTTGGTAGATACTGAGGATCTATCAAGGGGAGTTGAAAAACCCTGATTCCAAACCAACGGTGCACATGGGTTCCAGTACCTAGAGGGAAAAGATGGCGTATGAACCAATTGTTGGTCATCGGCTACCATGGGAAGGCATCTACTAACGTTTCTCCACTGTCTTTGGATCAGACCTTTAGGTCGAAGGCTATGGGTGCGGCCACCTTCGGTTTGGGCACCCGGGCAGTATCACAGCCCTCACACAAATCAAGTGACTTGTATGGCACATATGTATCTGGTACCCCTTTTTACCAATATTTATGTGTTCAAATAAATAAATAAAAGTAGGATTCCGGTATCTTCAGCTGACAAAACACGCGTCATGGATTCCCACTGCTAGCTGCATCTTTTATTGACTTGTGTTAGAATGTCTATGTTAAAGCATTGATGCCTTGAGTTCATCCAGTTTATGTTTTTATTTTGTTTGAAACATGTATTGAACAAAATGGAGTTGATCTTAAAATGTGATTTATTTGTTCAATACATCTTCAATTTTAGTCATATACTTACTTGTTAAGGAAAACTAAATCAAAGTTCATATAGATAATAGAAAATATCAAAGGAAGATGTTATGCAGTATGGAAATAATCGACAGTCGACATATCACTCTTTTGAATTATATGGATGAAGATGAAAAAGAACTGTTTTTTTTCTTAGTTCATTACGGATGTTTAGTCTTTCATATTATCAGGGTTTCCACAAACATTAGAATTCAGCCCTGACAATTTACATATAAATCTTTAAAGTCAATCCAATGACTTGTTTGAATTTTATGTCGTATCGTAGAGTTGCTAGTTGTCTACTTGTTAGCGTTAATGTGGACTTGTGATGCTTGCCAACCCTGAAGTCCGTTTCTTCGATATGCAATATAGAGGAGATTTGCTATTTGATCAGACTTTTACAGTTTTCTAAACATATAACCGTTTAATACTATTGTTTTAATTATTAGTTATTTGTTATGTACAATTAAGACAGATATTTTTAGGTCTGTAGTTGATCGAATACGTGAACAACCTTAGGGTGTTGAGTTTAATTATTTGTTCATAGTCTAACAGTCAAGTAGCTGTTCACCATTTTTAATAAATAGCTGGAAATCCCCACCTTTATAGCTTTTATTCTGTGAATAACTTATTGTTTGTATATTGTAAGGCATAAGTTTTTTAAAAGTTTATTTTTATTTTGGACAATACCAATTACCCGATTTAGTTTAGCTCAATTGACTTTGTTATCTTGGGCCGCTTGTCGTGTAGTTAATACATCCATCCTCCAACCAAAGGACGAGTTTACTTCACATTAGTTCATCCCGTTCTTCTTTATGGGTGTGAAATATGGGCATTAAGAGTAAAGGATATTCATGGATTAAAGTTCATGTATTTCGGGACCACCGAGTAAGTAATGCCTGGGTTGAGGATAAGATAGTAACGATTGAAAGTCGATTTATGAGGTAGTGAATCTTTATCAACTGAGGTGATAGGGACATGTGTTATATTAGACACATCCAATGTAAACTGGGAAGCACTAGATAGCTGTATCGTTTTAGAATGAAACTACACAAAAGTGCATATCCACAACCTCACCAGAGATTAAACTCGGGATGTTCAGTCTTGCTCGCCATCACTCAACCTCCAGACTACTGGACCGGGTGGTTAAAAGTTAATTTCAATAATACTAAGTATTTTTATTGAAAAATAGGGTCAAGTTGCATATGAATGCTTTACCTAAATTCCCTCAAGATCGACTTGTCACGAGAATTATTTCCACTTTGATTAAATTAATAATTAATATTTCTCATCCGATATTTTTTTCTGAACATTTAGGTTAATGATTCACAAGGGATGTTATATCCATGGATTTACTTTATCAGTATGATCATTATCGGATCATTTTTTGTTATGAACCTAGTACTTGGTGTTTTAAGTGGGTAAGTATTTCCTGTTTATAATTAATTATTTACAACTCATCATCATGTCAAGACACTGATATATGAATGAAGAATATTCCTTTAAAATAAATTCTTCTCAGGTTTTATAGTTCCAAACAAATTTTGTAAAACAATAGCCAGGTTCAAGGGAGATAAATCATTCGAAATTAAAATTTCGAAAACCTGCTAACTAGAAATATCTAGGTAATAAGATAGAAAATGACCTTACCAGATTTTCGGAGAAATTCACGAACCAATATATAATTTCATCAAGTTTATATGATTTATTGAAGGTACACAAATCGAAGATTCTATCGAAACCAGTTTTAGATATACATGAACTCCCCATATCATACTACAGATAAATGGTCGGTAATCACATTGTAGCCAGTTCACAAGAAACTTGTGAAGCATAATATTGAGAATGTATCCCAATTTATTGATTAGATTAAAAGTGCAAATTTCATGGAACAGTCAACGATGTCCTTAAATATAACGTTATCATTCGCGAATCTCCCACTTATATAAACTGTAGAATGTATACATGGAAAACGTAGATAAAACGAGTTGGAAACTACAATTCCAATTAATTTTATAAAATAATTGTTACTGAAATGCACCAAGAATGTGAATTTCAAGTTTAATCACGAAATCTATTTAAAAATGGTTGGAAGATGGAACAACCTAATTGGATGTTCTATTAACAAAAAGAGTTGATAAGAAGGAATTTAAACAAGATAATTACCCCGACAGGGTAGTACACACATTTACTTAGCTGTTTACCTTCATAGTACAAAGGAAACTTGATAAAACTATTCGTTACCAATTATATGCTATGTATTCTACGGATTTAGTTAAAGAACAAAATGATTTGAGTAATACTTTTAGGGAAAACGGATACTGTAAAAGTTTATAAACAAACATGACCACGAAAGTAAGAATAAGCGAAATGCAAACAACGATTAAGAAATCCCTGTTCATACGCCTACAAATCATAGATGATGACATAGAACGGTCTACAGAACAATAAAAATGGTGAAAAACTGCTAGTAATGTTTCCTACGCCCATGACAGCAGATTGAAATTATTCACCAATTCCTAGTATATAACAGACATAAACTGAGCATTGATTTATTAAGTATGAAACCATTTATCAGGCTTTCTTCCACAATATTTCTACTTGGCCAATTTGTCAATAAATAAAACAAGAATATCTGACAAATTTTCTCAACTCAATAGATAATGGTAATATATGTGAACAGATTATGGTAAAATAAGATTGAAATATTTCAAGCTAATTCATTGTTCCGCCTGACAACTTCATCACAGAACTACTGGTAACTAAACCGAACCTTCATAAATCATTAATATGCACATAACATAATAGAATAAAGGTAATTACCTCGAGTTATTTTGTTAAATAATTATAGTTTTGTTAATGTCATGATCATGAACTGATTGATGTTACACTAACATTGAAAACCTGGAAGCACTGGATGGCCGCTTCGTCCTACTGTGGGACACCTTAGCAGTGCGCATCCGCGTCCCACTCGCGGGATTCGAACCTAGGACCTTCGGTCTCGCGCGCACGAACGCTTAACCTCAAGACCACTGGGCTGACCGGCATCCAACGTTGTTAATGTCTAACCTCGATCAGTCCACGAAACTGCGCTACCATCTTCCATTGTGGTGAGGTAGATACCTGTCTCTATCTGACACGGATTAGACCCTAGGCTCGAATCCCGAGGGCGGGATCGTAGATGCGCACTGCTGAGAAGTTCTATAGTAGGACGAAACGGCCGTCCAGTGCTTCTAAGTTTTTAATAGTGGTCTAACATCAATCGGTTCATAATCTCAGTCAAAAACTTAGTAATCTCCACAACCCTATGCTGCTAATTATTATTAGCAATCAAATATATCAGTAGTACATATAGATAATCTGGGGTTCATAATTACATTTATGTTATGGAAATAGTTTATTTTCCATATATTACTGCTATTTGATGTTAATTTCTTCTTTCTTATTCAACTTCCTGTTTCTTAGAAGTTTTCTTCTTTAAATTTAAAATAGGTAAACTTGAATTAATTAGATGACTTAATTTTCTCTTTTTCTTTCTTTGTATTACTTACTTTCCATATATAATCAAATTATCTTTATTCATCTATCTTAACTAAACAATACTCATAATATTCACATGAAATCTAATTTTATCGAATATCGGCCTTCTAACTTTCCAATGTTCTATTCATCATCTTCATATTCTGAATAGAAGCAGGTCAGACTATCATTGAAAACCTGAAAGCACTGGACAGCTAGTATGAAATTCCTTAGTAGTACATATCCACGACCCCACACGCAGAAATCGAACATATACTGGCAATTATAATAAAAGTCTTTTTATTTACTCTCATATATTCAACTGAGCAAGGTTTGTACTCAAAATGAGATATTGTAAAGATGATTTACATGAAAGAACTACAAAATAATTTAAAATCACAACTTTCATCACTACTGTATGTATATTTAGTCGCAAAGGTTTTTGTTTAGCTTTTCCCTTACCTTTAATGATATATTCGGTAGGTAGGTAGGATTCTTGTATTTGGTTTTGTGTACGTGGATTTGTTGTAACTTGTGCCCTGTGTCCTTATTAATGTATATCGTAATGATAACGCCAATTAGAGAACAGTGAATTATCGACCGGACCAATGACGCGTAAAACCCGTACGAGCAGCAGTCTAGAATACTTATCCGTCCTGCTTCGTGCCTAGCCCAGCCAGTTAAGCCCAGAACGCCAATCTCAGCCTCTGCATTATGAATCATTTATATCAAACATACTGGGTTTATATACCAACCAGACAGACCACATCGTACCATAAAATAGGAAACAACATTTGTACAAACTTTAGCCAAAAGTGACTGTTAATGTGAGAGGTAGTAATTGATAGACCAGACATAACTCAAGAATGTTAAGTCGTATAATAATAGTCTATAGGTCAAAATAAAGCTTATGGTAAGAGGAACACAAATATGAATTGTTTAATTACTTAACAATTATACAATAGAAATATATGTATAGTACTAGTCCAGAAATATATTCCAGTAGTTATCATTCATTATTCTCATCAGGATATAACAGGATTGTTCTGTCGTGAGATGTAAAAGGGAAAATGGTAAATGAAGCGGGTGACTTGTTAGTTATGTACAAGATTTGTATTTCCATAACCCTGCTCATCACCGAGTGAAGTAGATTTACCTTTCAGCATGATAATAGCTTTCATTGTGTTGTGTAAGAGCGAGTTTTTTCAAACTTGAAGAACAACATAGGAGAGTAGATAGCATACATGAATTAATAAAACACAAGATCGAGGTTGCTGATATTGTCAGCATATAGTTTCTTTATACCATAAGTTTAGAGGAAAATCTCCTTTGTCATTAACAAGGTAATATTATATATAAGAATAAAAGCTTATATCAAGATAACCAACATTTAATTTAATGTTTTATAACAGAATGATCGATAGATCATCAGTCAAGTAACACTACCAGGGTGTTTAGTGTCTTTTAGTGTCTAATTCTAGAGTTATCAGCTCGTCATTTAAAATAGTTGGAAGTAAGTTCATTTAAAAAGGAACTTTTATCCAAACATTTCACGAAATCTTGTATTTCAAACCAAGCAGGATAAAATGTTTGATACGGTCAGTAGGAGAACAAAGAGAAAAAGATGGATCTTTCAGGTATACCCAGAAAATGTGGAAAGCTTTTTTGTATATACAATTTTCTGCTCTTCTCCAGGAAAATAATAATAAAATTACTTAGTTATTCAAGTTTTTGGGTTTACCATTGAGTTAGTTCTGAAAGATAAATATCTTAGAACAGAATCAATGGTAGAAATGTAGCTTACTGATGTAAGAAATTTAGATCTTGTAGCCTTTATTCTGATTCCATTTGATGTAGACGAAAGTTAAACCTCACATTTCATTTAGTTTATAATGCTTCAGCTATTTTCATTGTGCAACGGTGTTATTCAAGAGCCAAATAAGAAATGTATCTGAAAATCATATTTCATACAGTCATAAGATCCAATAACTATCCATGCATATAGAAATGTGGTCCACCAGGGTGCTTGGTACCTGTGTGGTTGCGCCACAGGATTGAGCTGTACTATTCAGATTGTAGTGTTAAAGCCTATACGCTGTCTGGTTCCCCTGCTAAACGATGTTGAGCTGTACTGTTTGGGTTTTCACGTGAAAGTCCGGATGGTATCTAGTTCTCCTGAAAACCTATGTAAAATTACCCTGGCCCACAAGGGTATATTATATAATTATATAACATATAGAAATGGCTTGAGCCAAATCATTTACTTCATTGCATGACAAAACTTTTATGGTTCATATAGACAGGGATAATATTGATAAACAGATATGGGCAACCACTCATACATAGGAAATGTACACTAATAAATTGTGACTGTTGCTCATATATTATTGTATTTAATATAAACAATAAAGTTACAATTTTAGATATGCTAAGGTCAAATAAGCTCACATAACGGTTTTAATCGATCGGTCTTATCAATTCATGAGAATATTGAAAATTTAATTCATATGTATTAGTTATTTGAATCTTCCCACTAATGTCTATGGCCGGAATTGATCAGTCTCTTTTTGGTATATTTGCATTTTGTTTCTCGATATTGTCTCTAAATCACAAGGAGTTTTATGTAAAGATTGATGGCAAGTAGTACTGGGTTCAGATTCCGGAATGAACACCAACTATAGGTTACGGCAACTCCCAGCCGAAACTTCCCAAACAAAGCGAAACTCTCGTTCTGGATTTCACTGATAGCCGCTATCCATTAATTCCTAAAAGTATCGCAAGTTTATTTGTTTACTATCTAAAACGTGTGTATGGAGCTGGTACAAACTTAAAAGTACGCTTTGGATATTTGTCAGGTGATTGATATGGATCAGTATAGTTCTTTAATGAAAATTAAAGTATCTTCGTTCTAAAAATGTTGAACTGTATTAACATTATTACTTCAATTGCGTTTTCAATGCTAATATACTTCAAACTATAACATCCATGAAATGTCATATGGCATAATAAATTGTACCAAAGTCAAGTATAGTTTTAGGTTGAGATCATGAACCGATTGGTGTTAGACTATCATTGAAAACCCGGAAGCACTGGATGGCCATTTCGTCCTATTGTAGGACTCCTCAGCAGTGTGCAAAAAACATACATAGCGTTTCTCATACCACTAGGATAGATGGAAATAACCTGAAATTCCGAAGACCTCTGAAATACAAGCGAACACTAATTATATAGATAATCAATCTGTATTCTTGATCACCAACTAGTAGTTTTCATGATTACTTTGGGATTTCATGACAGTCCAGTCCTAGATTGTCAAGAATATTTATAAACACACAGTTTCCAATGTCTGTAACCAAGGCTGTTTCTTGGTAGCTACAATTGTCAACCTCCATGATTTACTTTTTCAATAAACCTGTAATCTCCATATATCTGATGTCTTATACGTTACTTTATAAACTTTTACTTTCGATGAAATAGTTGTCAATATATTTAAAAATGGATTTCAGGAAGTTTTATAATGCACAGATTTGTTTATGTTAAGAAAATCAACTTGATAGTCAAATATCCTAATGTACTTCTATCTAATTGTTTGTTTTAACTCATTAGGATACTGACTATCATGTACAAGAGAACCGCTGTAAACGTCATAGAAATATATTTGATTGAAAGTTTCAATATTCATTTCATTTAATGAAACAGAGTATTTGAATATGGAGATATTTATATAAGAAGGGGTTTTGTGGTGATTTTTAGAAATTTCACTGGTTGAAATCATGAGTCAATTGAAGCTAGACGACCATAAAAAACCCGGAAGCACTGGACAGCTGTTTCGTCCTAGTATGGAACTCGCGAGACGGATAGGTGCTGGGTTCGAATCTCGCGGAGAGCGAGATCATGAATGCGCACTGCTGAGGATTCCCATACTAGGACGGAATGGCCGTCCAGTGCTTTGAAGTTTTTCATGGTGGTCTAGCTTCAATGGACTGATGATTTCAACTATTGAAATATTTATATAAACTTGACGAATATAACTGTCATATATAAATAGTTTATATTGATTTTGTATTTATCTATTTTATCTTTTCTCCTTTCTCATTGAATTAGGGAATTTTCAAAAGAGCGTGAAAAAGCTAAAAAACGTGGTAAATATCAAAAAGCTAGAGAACAGATGCAATTTGAAGAAGATGTACAAGGTTATTTAGACTGGATTAGTGCAGCTGAAGATATTAGTGATGATGAAGAAACTACAAATAAAGAAGATGAAAAAGAAAAAAGTAATTTAGTTTAAAGTGTAAATAGTGCTCATGATTTTTACAGAGATAAGAGAAAAGTTTATGTGCTTTTCAAACTAGATGATCACTGTGTATTGTTAAAATTATCTCAGTGCCCGCAGTTGGTCTAACTTCATAATCATTGAATGATGATGTTGATGTAGTATATAGTCTACTTTACTTTGTATTTACCTTTTGACTTAAATCGCATTACTGCATAATAGAATAAGTGAAGTACAAGAGTGATTTTGGATACATTTATTCCAAATATTGATTGATTCTGATTGGAGAATGTAAACACAGATGCACTCTGTCCGACAATCGTTGTAACTTTCACACAAGGTTCCTCTACATACTACTTACAAACATCTTTGTACGTAGCGTCCAATATATATGTTTAGTTTTTGAGAAATAATGTCAGTTGTCTGCTGTTGCTATAACTGTGACAGCAGATTAGAGGACAGCGAATTATCGATCGGACCAAAGACGCGCAAACACGTAAGAACGGCGTACGGTTCTGATTGGTCCCGCTTCCCTGTCTAGCCCAGCCAGTTGAGTCCAGAACGCAAGTCTCAGCCTCGGAGATATGAATCGTTATATTTCAAGCACACTCTGTTTATATATCAATCAAGCAAACCACATCGTACCATAAAATAAAAAATAACATTGTACAATACTGACCAGTAGGAAAACGACACGTGAAGTAAATATTGACCAATAAGAAAACAACACCATTTCAAGTCCAAGGATAGCGTTAGACTTAACAGAATAACTTTTGGGATATTTTCCTCAATATCCCAACAGCTGTCTATGTTGTGATTGAAACACATCGGTACAAAATCGAAAAAAAGTTGTTTCTTTGAAAAAAAACTCAATAGTGAATGTATAGAAAATCTAGGATCACAAGTAAAAGACGATTGAATCAAAATCGCAAGCATATTCTATGATTTCAGAACTACGCTTGGCAGACCGGTATTCCCATCAGTTTTCTACTTTTCTGAGTTGTTTGTCTTCAGTTGTTCCTTATTGGTAAATTCAAACATTAAATTCCCATTTTATTGTACTTAATTCGTTACGTATCCTAATTATCTTATTGGAGAGGTACTTCAATTGTGTTTTCCACCACAGATTACATAATTCAGTGATAGTAAAGTTTAAAACAATTAGTCCCTTTGATAAATTTCAATAATGCAATGTGAAGTTTAACAGAATTATATAATAAATTTGCGCAATACATTTCGAACAGTCTGATCACACATCTATACTTGTTAAGACATTTTTATATTTCACTGGTTGAAACCATGAGTCAATTGAAGCTAGACCACCATGGAAAACCTGGAAGCACTGGACAGCCGTTTCGTCCTGGTATGGGACTCCTCGGCAGTGCGCATCCACGATCCTGCACCCCGCGGGATCCGAACCCAGGACCTACTGGTTTCGCGCACGAGCACTTAACCATTAAACCACTGAGCCGGCATCCAACGGTGTTAATGTCTAACTTCAACCAATCCACGAAGTTGCGCCACCGTACACCATTGTCTTCAGTGAGTTCCTATCTCACAACAGACCTGGTTTTATATGAAAATTAAAAGGTCAACTCGATAGGTTAAACGTAAAACGTAACAAAAAAATATTTTAAAGTACACAAAAGCAATGTGATAACCACTCTGGATAATAAATCAGTATTACCAGGGTGGGTTATGTGTGAGAACAAATTGTTTTTGAACGCATAAAGGGGGTTTCAGTTTCCGTATAGCCTAGGCTTCAATAAACCTTAGTATATATCCTTGAAGAATTTTGTGCAAAACTACAAATGCTGGCTTGATGTCAACCTTATGACTAGTTTCAATCAAATGTTTGATAATTAGGATAGTTGCTTCAATTATGCCAACATATACATGACTAAAATTACTATCAGTTCTAGTCAATGTATCTTTATAAGAAATCACGTCTTCTATAATGTATTAATGTCGTTATTTACCGTTAAACATCTTGGTTTATATTGGTTTACATATGTATGTTAATAACCAGTTCGACAACTACATATATAGGAAGGAGTAAAATATTGTGTTTAGCAAGAAATTTTGCTATTCCATGACCTATGGTAAAAGGGATCGTTGTTAAGCTGCAGATATTTAGAAATTCTTCTGTAAACCTTTATTAATTCCCTAGACTTTTTTTCATATGACATGAATGGAAGACTAATTCACATTATATATATCTATCACTTTACTCCTACTTCCGTTGGCTTGTCAAGTGTTGGGATCGAGTTCAGAAAAAAATTCATTAGCTGAACTTTCATCTTGGTTCGTATACACTGCTTTAAATAAAGCAGGGTTGCGATTAATGAACACTGTAAACACTTCTTAATCATTCATCTGAACTATATAATGGTCAAATAATTAGTTAACAATTCTGAAAAAATAAACATGCCCAACCCTCCTCCTTTATCCGGGCATGGGACCGGCAGTAGCCCCCAGAGGGGCTCCATGAGAAATTGAATGTATCTCTACAACGTAACTCCTATTCTTTAGAGGGTTATTCTTTTTATTTTCGTTTCATAAACCAGTACCTTGACTATAAATGAGAAAAAAACATCATTTTCTGATTATTTGCTCCAATCATTGTCTTATAATGAAAGTACTAAAGTTGTTGGAATGGTCTGGATTTATGTAATGAATTATTCCAAGTACATCCTTTTTTAGCTAAACCGTCAAGGAACTAAACAACATACGTCTATCTGGATCGTTTTGAACAATGTAGCTAGTTTCGCTGATTCGATTGAGTGAATAACAACCGGTTATTTCACTGAGTGGTGTATTGTATATTAACAATAATTTGTGTTTTTAAGCTTAATGCTTAAACTAATTTAATATGTTCACATCTGAATAGTCTTCTTATAAATCGAAATCTGTCATTTAGTGAATTTTAATTACTTCTATGCCGATGCTGTAATAGGGAAATTACTCTTGAACGCCAACTGATTACGTCATTATTGTTTCATATCCTTTAATTTTTTAAAAATTTATTTTTACAGAATTTCATTGGTGTGCTGCATGTCGGACCACCTCATCTTCAGCTACTGATGACTTTGAAGAGGAAGAAGAAGATCCATCTGAACATGGACTGGATGATGGCGGTGGTGGACATCGTAGTCAATCATCATCACAACAACATCAGTATTTTTTCTGTATTCCATTGAAAGGGTGAGTTATTTAAATTCAATACCATATGTTGTAATTAGAATTAATATTACAATTGTGTTTGGTATCTATAAATATCAACCGGTTTTTATACCACTTTTTAAGTATCAGTAAATTCAACAGTTTTGATAGACATTAGTGTCACTTTCGGTGTGATCATTAAAATAAACACAAGATTGACACTTGAGATACTTTGGAAAATAACTTTTTAAAAACTTCCCAGTGACCAAGAATCTACTTCACAAAGCTGAATAAAAAGAACAGGAAACTGGAAATATAAAAATATCATTTTGATTGAGATCATGAGATGATTGATGTTAGATCACCACTAAAGACCTGAATGCACTGGACAGCCGTTTCATCCTATTGTGAGATTCCTCAGCAGTGCTCATCCACGGCCACGCCTCGCGAGATTCGAACGCGGAACCTATCAGTCGCGCGCGCGAACGTTTAACCTCTAGACCACTGAGCTGGCCGACATCCGACGTTGTTAATGTCTAACCTCAATCAATCCACGAAATTGCTCGACCATCTTCCATTGTACTGAGGTAAATATCTGTCTCTACCCAATACGAATTAGCTTCACTGGTCACGGCTTATCACTAGAACTCCGAGAATTCCTTCACGAAGCTAGTCACTAGTGAGCACATGGTAATTATCAGTATAGGGTTGTGGAGATTATCCAGTTTTCGATTGAGAGCATGAACGGATTGATGTTAGATTACTGTTGCAAACCTGGAAGTACTAAACAGTCGTTTCGTCCTCAGCAGTAGAACGAAACGGTCATCCAGTGCTTCCAGGTTTTCAATGTTGGTCCAACATCTATCAGTTTTTGGTCTTTATCTAAAATGTATTATTCTCCACAACCCTATGCTGAAGAATATAGATCTTTGAAGGCTTTCATAATATATAGAAATCAAAAATATTCATATTAATTGTCTTGATTATTCTAGAAACATTGAAAAACAATGCTTATAATTTCTAATAAATATAATAATTGTCCAATCCAAAATAAAGAAAGAAAATAAGTAATCTTTTTATAGATTATTTTTAAGAGCTTTACAATAAGATCTGATTGGTCAAAACAATGTTAATAATTTCCCTTGCTTCTAAAGAATTTATACAGAATTCTGCTAAATAGACATACATTTTATCTATTCTCTATTACATAATATAACTTTCATGTAAATTATTTCTATTAGATGGATACATAATTTACAGTTTATATAAATTACTTCATTATCTTATATCTTAATGTAATGGCATTAATTGACAAAATATCATATCTAATGTGTTCAGTCAGTCAGTCCGTCAGTAACAACGTAGAACTTCGTACGTACGTACGTACATCAGTTCGAGTTGCCACACCACATTAGCACAGAGATGCAGTTGTAAATTGTACAAGCAAATTTAACTTACTAATAACATTAACCTGATATTTCAAAATAAAAAATTCTCTTTGAATTGCCAATATATTAGAATACAATTTTTAGGGATAAGTTTTATATGAAACTATAATTTATTTACAACCTTTGAGAGATACTAAAGTGATTTTGAGAGTCACAATTGATTGATCACTGGGTGGTGATCAATGTCATGTGTGTCAAGTCCTTATTTAGTGCAGATCGAATGCTATCGACCATGTTGCAATGTGGCCACCAGTCTAGGTGACGCGACACTGCGTGCATTATATATTGAGATTAGATGGTGGTTGGAGGTAGTCAACAGGAAACCCTGGACTCAGGTTTTGTGCTATTTGGCACTCGTCAGCAAGGTGTACCTGTAATCTTGAGGGAACTAGTGCTCCCTGGCGGATTCGATCACTGGGTGTAATCAATCAATTGTCAGTCAGTCAGTCAGTCAGTCAGTCAGCTACAACGTAGGACCAGGCACATATGTGTATCGGTCCAGGTTGCCATACCTCATTAGCACAACAAGATGAACACCGGATTCATAGGAGTGGTTAGGTCAAAGGTTGCAATAAGGATATAGTATAGGAAGGAAGAATTAGTTCGTGGAAAGAAAGATATGAAGTGATTTAATCTCTTAGTTTAAGGGAAGACAGGGAGTGTATACACCGACGCCATTGTGATCGATTCTGAGCCATGTCACCAAGAGTCTCCAACCATTGGTTACGATAGTCACGCGGACCCCAACCAAGTAGTCTGCATCTACCAACATGGCTCAGACTAGAAGTTAGTGACTTCAGGCACTGATGCCACGTTTTGGTTTGGCCGCCCCTAACTTTCTTCCAACCAACCCCTACACCGGTTAGCATTGCACGTCGTGGTAATCGGTGTTCAGGCATACGTAATACGTGGCCCAACCATCTCAGTCGATGAAGATTGATAACCTCATCAACTGATTTACCATCATTTCCTAATACCCTGGCGTCTAACCTCACTATTACATACCCGGTGATCCCAGCAGATGTCAGCAATATTTCTAAGGCATCTGTGGTCAAATACTTGTAGCTTACGGGTGTCTTCTACTCTTAAAGGCCATGTTTCGCTGCCGTAAAGTAAGACAGAACGGACTGCCGCGCAGTATACTCGTCCTTTTATTGATAGACGGATATCTCGCCTCCGCCAAAGGTGACGTAAGTTGGCAAAAGCCAATCGAGCTTTTCGAATCCGTGCTGAGATTTCGTCAGACACCAACCCATTAGGGCTGATCAGACTTCCAAGATAAGTGAAGTTGTCAACGCGTTCGACTACTTCACTCCCTATCCTTAGTTCAGGTGTTGACGCAGACCAGTCCTGAAGCAACAACTTGCATTTAGAGGGAGAGAAGCGCATCCCAAACATTCTGGCATTGTTGCTTAGTGCTACCAGAAGACTCTGCATTTTGTCAGCGTCTTCACCAAACAGGACTATGTCATCTGCGTATTCTAAGTCGATAAGTGGACCTCCTGGAAGGAGATCAATACCCGAGAATTCAGTCGACGAGAGTGTTATTTCCATCAATAGGTCTATGATGAAGTTAAACAAAAATGGAGAAAGTGGACAGCCTTGACGGACACCACTTGAAGTTGCAAAAGTAGATGACAGTTCGCCATAAGCCCTGACTCGACTAGTAGTGTTCGAGTAAAGAGCCTTCACAAGGTTTATGTACTTCTGAGGTACGCCTTTCAATGACAGACACTGCCACAGAGTCTCACGGTCTACAGAGTCAAACGCTGCTTTTAAGTCAAGAAAGACCACCATCGTCGGACGCCGATAGGTATGCCTGTGTTCTAGAACCTGACGAATGGTGAATATGTGGTCGACGCAGCCACGACCAGGTCTAAAGCCAGCTTGGTTCTCTCGAGTTTGTAGTTCACGAGTCTTAGTTAGGCGTCTGATAATTATCGAGGCCAGTATTTTAGATACTATGTTTGTTAAACTAATCCCTCTGTGGTTGTCACAGGATGATTTTGACCTTTTCTTATATATTGGGACGATGAGTGATTGCGACCAGTCAGATGGGATAAAGTCTAATTCCCAGATCTTAGCTAAAATATTAGTCAACCTAATCGCTAAAATTGGACCACCATCCTTAAAGACCTCTGGAGCCAATCCATCTGGACCAGCTGCCCTTCCTCGTTTCAGATTAACTATAGCCTTTTGAACTTCAGCAAGAGTTGGGGGACCTACTTCAATGTTCCATTCACATTGTCTGGGAATGGAGGGTAGTTGTAGGGTAGCTGAAGGCCAGCTGAACTGTTCTGTAAAATGTTCCGCCCATCGTTCTAAACGTCTGGACTGGGAGCAGATGAGAGTATCATCTTTTTTCGAAATAATCTCACTTACACTTGACTTATTAATTCCAGTTTCTTTTATTAGTCTGTAAAGCTGTCTTGTGTTCCCTATAGTCGCCGCCTTTTCCATCTCTTTTGCTTTCGTTACCCACCACTGCTCACGGTCGTTCCTTAGACTTTTTCTTAACCTAGATCTGATTTGTTTTCGCTCTTCATCATGTTCAGAACCTGATGGGACGAGTTTGCGAGAATCCATCAGTGTGACAGACCTTGAAGAAATCCACTGGTTCCTTGCAACTCTGTGGTTTAAGTCACTAATAGATGTCACTGCTGTTTCCACAGCTGATTGTATGCTCTTCCAAGCAACATCTGGGTCAGCCTCGTCTTCACAACTACCTAAGTGTGACCTCAGTTGTTCCTGGAACCTACTTTTGGTTTTCTCGTTACTCAACTCAGTTCTAACGGGTCTTTTTAATGTGGCTTTTTTGCGTCCAGTGAGGCGCAAGCAGATGCGTGCCCGTATTAGGGCATGGTCGGAGTCCAAGCAGGTACTCCAGAATGAGCGACAATCTTCTACCGACCCTCTCCAACGATGACTGATGGCAATATGGTCTATTTGAGTCCATCGTTGGTTTGGTGTAGGGGGTCGCCATGTTAGACGATGTCTCTCCTTATGCTTAAAATTTGTGTTTGCTAAAAATAAATGATTGTCTGAGCACAGTTGCAGCAGACGATCACCATTATCTGTTCGCTGTGTCGGAATACTAAAATATCCACCTAAATGCCTTTCTGTTTGGTTTAAGCTACCTATCTGAGCATTAAAATCACCTGCTACGAGTACTATGTCTGAGCGTTTAGCTTTCTGAAGAAGTTCAGAAAGCTTTCTGTAAAATTCATCTTTCACTTCATCTGAGCTGCAGTCAGTGGGAGCGTAGACAGAAACGACAAAAAGGCAACGACGTGTGTCCCTATCCTTCCGAGTTCTTACGTAGCCGTTCAGCCGAACAGCACATAGACGACTGTTGACGGGGATCCACTCTAGCAGTGCTTGTTCGGCCCTCATGCTTAGTGCTATGCCTACACCTGCCAGTCCACGAGAACTGGCCATCGGGTCACTAGATACACGGAGGGTGTATCTCGTTGGCTCTCCGTTCTGCTGAGGTGAGGTCAAGTGAATGACCACACTGGGATCCTGTATGCGTGTTTCAGAGACACAGCATACATCAATGGAAAGAGACTCTAGGGTTTTAGCCAAGGAACCCTGCTGACCGACTTGACATAGAGTGCGTACGTTGAAAGCTCCAATGTGTAGTTTGGAGCGAGGTTTCAGTAGACCTGGGACAGAGTTTTGAGCACTAGAATCGTTGGCTATGGTGACACTTGAGGAGGAAGCCGAAGGAGGAAGTTTAGGGTTGAAAGTCGATGTAGGAGGAATATTAGGAATTGAAGAGGAAGGTTGATTATGAATACAGTGGTCTTGGGTGCTGTTAGAGGTATGAGGGCGGTTATCACTTCCCGGTTGCCCACACCATGGAAGGGTTGTTCTGGAGGTACCTGAAAAGGAAATTGGATTAGAGGTGGTCTCAGTGACCTGAGAGCGTGACCGCAGTGCCCAAGGGACAACTGCTTGAGGCCGGTCGCGCACGGCCTTTTCGTGGAAGGTTTTCGACGTGTTAGCTCCGTTCTTCAAAGGGCCTTACCGCCGGAGACGGTAATCCGTGAGGTAAGGTGAGGTGTGCATTTTTAGGGTCGACCTTTTCTAACCCCACCCCTCCTTGTGGGAAGGCAGCATCGCTGTCATGCTGGTTGTCTGAAAGAAACACCTTACTGCTGTCACACCTCTGTACAGTCAGCAGTACGACTTCGCCTTCGGACCTTGGGTTTGTTGCTTTTAGTCTTACCGCTCTTCAACCGACCTGTCTGACATGGTAGGACCTTGAGGAACGGTTGTTCCATCCAGTATAGCTCGGTTGCTTCATCACGATAGGCAAGCCCGACCACCACGTCAAGGTAGCAACAACGGTCGGGGAATCAATTGTGATTACATCTCAGTCCTACAGGAGGTTAGTCATGACTCGGATAGCTCAGTGGTAACGTCTATGACTGTGAAGCTGGGTGACACCTCGCTGACTTGTGCCAAGTAGCACGAAACCCGGATCCAGGGTTTCTTGTCGACTACCTCCAACCACCATCCACTTATTTATTAGGGTTAAATGATAGTTATAAAACAGTATGAAAAGTAAGAATTATGATTTACAGTTGATAGTCGAGGATAAGAATTAGATTTATGGTTTTTTCATCACAAACTGCATATTAACTAAAATACCAGGACGCTATTTAAGACAATTGAGTAAATGAATTTCTCACTAAAATCCCAGACTTGTCATCTTAAATTTGATTGGTTCATTCATAAATTATAGTCTCGCCATATTTATTCATAATCAATTAGGAAGATGTTTTTATGTGAAAGAATAAATTAGAGAACTTTAGAATAAGTAATAGAAACTTGTCAACTTGTAGTTTGATAATTTGTGGTCGTATATTTCGATAGTTTAGTATATTTATCAGTTTTGGCGATTTATGGAGATTGTAGTATTTTTAACAGTTGTATTGATCAGTTGATCTAAGCTATACCACCACTAAAAACCCAGAAGCACTGGAAAGCCATTTTGTCCTAGTATGGAACTCCTCAGCTGTACATACTCACGATCCCTCACATGTGATTCGAACACATGGCTTAGGTTCTGCAAAATCATGGATCGAATGAAGTTAGACATTAACACCGTTGGATGCTGGCTAGTTCGATGGTCTAGTGGTTAATTGTTCATGTGCGAGACCGAAGGTCCTGGGATCGCGGATGCGCACTTCTGAGGAGTCCCGTAATAGGACGAAGTGATTGTTCAGTGCTTCTAGATTTTCAGTGACTGTCTAGCTTAGACCAACTGATGAATTCAACTGTTAGTATATTCACATTGTTCTTGTTGATTTTCACACTCCATAATAGTTGATTTTCTCTTATGATAGAACGTGATACAATTTTCTGTGTTCAGAATCCCAGTCCTTTTGTTTGTACGGTTGTTTTCTTTTAAATTTAACGCCCATCAATGACACATAGATTTCTTAAGTTTGTATATAACTAAATAGTTTGGATAAATTATGTAAAAAGCCTTTCGCTTTAACAATCTTTATTATTTGTCTATCATTTATGAAAAGACACGTTGGGTCTTAGTGGTTGTCTAAGATAAATGTGTGATGTAAATTGTGAGAATATTAGATGGTGGTTGGAGGTAGTCAACAGGAAACCCTGGATCCGGGTTTCGTGCTACTTGGCACTCGTCGGCAAGGTGCACCTGTGATCTTGAGGGAACTGGTGCTCCCTGGTGGATTCGATCTCGTGTCACCCAGCTTCACCGTCATAGACGTTACCACTGAGCTATCCGAGTCATGACTAACCTCCTGTAGGACTGAGATGTAATCACAATTGATTGATCACTGGGTGGTGATCAATGCCATGCTTGTCTAGCTCTTATTAGTGAGAATATTATTTGCTTTATATCAAGGAAAACGTAGTATAACTATGTTATATGCTACCACTCCTATACTTATAAAGAAAATCAATTTTCCTTTTAGAAGGCGATCGCGGCGTTGGAATCGTCGTTGCCGACGTTCTTGTCGTCGGCTTGTTAAATCTCAGACATTTTACTGGATAGTTATAGTCCTTGTTTTTTTGAATACTGGTGTTCTCACTTCAGAGCATTATGGACAACCGCCGTGGCTTGACGATTTTCAAGGTAAATTTTTGACATATATACATAAAATTGTTATTCGATGATTGCTATTTTATTGTAATAATACTTTAAATCAAAAGTTTCTATTTACGGTTAATTTATGTGAATAACGGACGATTAGATGAATTGATGACTGACATTACTTAAAGGGTACTTAAAGCTAGTAAAGATACAGTCAATGAGTGATTTTGAATTTCTTTCAACAATCACGAAGTCTACTTTCATAAAATCGGACATTGGAGTATTCAAAGCAATCCAAAATGACATAGCTGTCCCACTTTATTAAAACATAACATCGTGAGACCCATTCGCTTTTATGATATAAGGATATTTCCTTGACCTACTGACGATTTCCTTGTTATTTACAGTCTAAATTATTATTGAAATGAGGAACATCTCTATATCCAGGAGATTATGTCAAATAAGTTCGAATTAAGTTGGTCTACCACTTTTGACTTATATGTAGCCACATACGAAACACCAATAAACCCCCTACTATACCTGTGAGACGTTTTCTGAAGCGGTCTTAAACGTCAGTAATTATGAAGATAATTTACTTCTAATAGTGGCTGAGGGATCGATCTATGACAAACACAATATTAATCATACTAAACTTTCAAAAAAGAAACATCTCAAAAGATTAATAGAAACCAGGTTGACATATACAAGTGATTACTCTTATCGTTAATTCTGGACAGGTTTGGTATCCCAAAATCATGGTTAACACGAAGTTTAGTATAATGGTTTGGTCATTCCAGTAGCTTCAGTTTGGGCACCCGGGTAGTATCACATCCCTTACACATATCAAATGAGATTTGTGTGATGCATATGCATTTGGTGCCTCCTTGTATCAATATCTATGTGTTCAAATAAAAATAAAAAATAATAGAACTGTTTGTTTAAGCAACTGAATTTCAAAATTGTACAGACAAATCACACCAATGATGGCCGTTTACACTAAACCGATTACATGATTTACCGAAACAAAACACAAAGTAATGGAGTACTAGAAAAGGTCTGAAAACCTTGGAAATCTATTGTGAATTTAATTATTGAAAAGTGTGTATGTTAATTCCTGAGACCAATTACCTACTGAAGTCAGTTAGACAAAATAGTTCTCACATTTGGATTTAGACCCAGGAAATATCTAAAAAGCATAAAGTCCTGTATTACTTAACATCTTTATTACAAATATGTCATGAGTGGTGTTCTGGATAAATGATCAGATTTAGCACATGATTGGACGTATGTATTCACCTCAACTTTATCTATCCTCCCATTGGTTATAAACACTGACAATCAATGACCCATCCACAATTGACTAACACTCATAATATACATATATATGTTTCAATGTTTTACTTATTCACTCGCTTCCCAATGTCCTTGGTCTCTTACATGGTTACATGATTCATAATACACTATTCCATCAACTGATATTCCAGCTTTTGAATATTTCCAAGTGAATTACTAAGAGAATTGGCCCACTGAAATACGAATTTAACGAGATATTATACATTGAAGTCAAATGAAGTGATATTAACCAATTTTGAGACTATGTTATGAATGTTTAATAGTATAGATAATATCTTGATACATTATGAAACATCTTGTTATACATCATGCCAATTTTATAATAGGGTACTTTTATAAATTAAAAAAAACAAACATTACATGGATCAATAAAATTAGTTAGCAACAAAACTTTTTTTCCATGTCAAATGACAACAGAAATTTTAGTTATGGTTGTTTTTTTTGTTTTTGTTTTATTTCTCCTCTATTCATAACGATGTATTTGTTTGACTTTGTTGTTATCGGTACAATTCAATAAAGAATAGTTTATAATGTTGAATATACAAATATACATATTTTTGTTGTTTTTCTCTTCCTCATCCCTTCCTCTATCTCCCCTTTCCACTCCCTCTCCCTCTTCTCTTTTTTTTGTTTTAGATATGGCCAATATTGTATTTGTTGTCCTCTTTTCTATTGAAATGTTAATTAAAATGTACAGTTTAGGAATACGATGTTATTTTGATTTTATGTTTAATCGATTCGATTTTTTTGTGGTTATCTGTAGTATTATAGAAGTTGTATTAATACAAACTAAAGTGATGCCACCATTAGGAGTATCTGTATTACGTTGTGCTCGTTTATTACGTGTATTTAAAGTGACCAGGTAAGATTCATATTATGAAGTAAGCATATTTTCTTTTTTAAATATGGATTAATTTGATGAATAATTTAATTATTATCATGAATGGTTTCTACTCCGCCTGGAGTCCCTCCGGCGGCTACTACCGGTCCCAAGCCCGGATAAAGGAGGAGGGTTGGGCATGGGGTTAGTGACCCCATCCCGTAGAACACTAACTCGCTAAAAAAACTCTAACCAGAAAAAATTATCCTATTCTATAAAGGATATGCTTAATTAATATTTCATAGATTTCGATCCCAATGCAAACAAATCATGTATTTTCTGTTTAATTTAATGGTCATGAACCGACCATTATTAGACTGTAATTGTAAACCTGGTGGTACTCATTCTAATAAGAGACTATTTAGTAATGTGCATTCACGATGAACTTCTAATTATATTTATTGACATTTGTTAATGGATTCTGACATGAAACACAGTTTTTCCCGTTGATAAGTTCAAATAGCGACAACAAGTATGGAACAATTAGAAAATGTTAAGGTGAATAAACATTTTTATGCTACCAAATCGTGAAAATTCTAGAAGAAAATATTCTTGAAATTCGCTTTAAAAAAAAGAATATTCGCATAATAACCATAGAATTCAATGTAACCACGCAGTATGCGAAGTGAAGCTCAAGAAGACTCAAAAATGGGAATAGGATTTCATGTTGTGAATGTGAAATAAGATATCACGTCAGTAAATTATGGAAGAATATAAGTTTTCAGGGTAATGAGTGATTTACAATCTCATCTTTGTGAATACGTTAGTTTGATTTCAACTTTTTCATCATAATGGCCTTGACATAGCGTAGTAATTTCAAAATTGTCCGGGTACCGTTTATTTTCGACGGTTTTAAAATCCTATCATATCCACTATCAAGCAAATGATGAGCAATAGCACAGTGCTACTGCTTGATAACTAATTATTACTATCGTTTTTAAGCTATAAGCAGCTGATGATAATCTACAAAATATATTCGCTTCTTTACGCTTGATAAGTCTTGCAAATTGAACGCTATATTCGTTTCCTAAGCTATTCTGTAACTCCCAAGCTAGAACTATACAGAGACCTCAACAACGAGAGAAAAGACGCAAAGTATGCGAGAAGTACTTTACTCCAAAGTTCATTTAAATACAGAAAATATAGGGTTTTTATAATATTTTTAAATGTCCTTGGGTTGCTCGAACATTCTGGAATGCTACTAAACATAGTAGCAGTGTAGCAATCAGCCAATCAGAGCCTCTGCATGTGACGTTTTACTTCCTTGATATTTCTGGCTAAAACTTCAAGTGAACGCTGATTAGATGAAACGCTTCTTAGTGTTTCCTGATGTTTGCTTGTCTTTTGCAAGCAATTTTCTGGATCACTTCAACAACGCTATACTTGTTCTTACTGTTATGTTCAAATTTTGACATCAATTGATTGATAACTGATTTTAAAATTACTTGACATGAAGTTGAACTATTGGGTTTTAATGTCAGCCTTTTCACTACTGCATTTTTATAATCTTAATACAGCCGGAAAAGCTTATGTTACAAAAATAGTTCACTGTCTATCCAAAGAAAAGTTGTTTTTCAATTTACTATGCAACCTTCTATTATTGTTTTCTGCAGTCCTCTTCAATTATTAACTATCTATAGAGAAAAAAACAAAACAAAATTTGATCGATAACATATACAATTTATGGATAGTTATAAGTTACCGTACTGATTCGGACAGAACATTTAGTGCAATGAAACATGGCCGGTAAGAGTAGAGGATATTCGTAGTTTACTAGTATTCGATCATAGGTGTCTTCGAAACATTGCTCGTATATCATGGGACCATCGAGTAAGTAACACAGTTGTTAGGAAACGGGTACTAGGTAAGCATAGCAAATCAATTGATGAAGTAGTGAAACTTCATCAGTTGAGATGGCTGGGACACATGTTACGTATGCCCAACGACCGAATGCCTCGATGTGCTATGTTCAGTGGTATAGGAGTAGGTTGGAAGAAAGGTAAGGGCGGCCAGACCAAAACATGGAACAAGTCCATGAAGTCACTGACAAGTGGACTGAGTCATGTTGGTAGGTGTAGACTACCTGGTTGGGGAATGCGAGATGATAGCAACCGATGGTTAATGACCTTGAATGTGACGACTCAAAATCGTTTGCAATGGGGCAGGTGCATACATTCTTTGTGTTCTCCCAAATTCTAATCTTCTGAATTCTTCATGTCCCTTTCTTTTTTCTCTTTCCAAACTTATTTCACTGGATTATATTCTTTAAATAACATCTCCAAACCCTAATCTTCCCGATTACTGCTTATACTCTTATTACCTCTACCACTACGAGATTTGAATCGACAACTGCATCTCTGTGCTAGTGTGGTGTGGCAACTGGAACTGATGTACGTACCTACGAAGTTCTACATTGTTAATGACTGACTGACTGACTGACTGCAATCTACTTGGTCCGGCGAAATTCAATTTCTTAACCATAATGAGTTTGATCTGCTCGGTCTTGAAACAACATTTTATTTCGTTTGGTTTCACCAGGTCTATCAAAGAGAGCACTGAAATAATGCTTATTCCTATTTGGTGATTTACATCTATATGTACATATTTGAAGCCAGATTTTTTTTATTTTCACCCTAATCATATTGGATTTAATGATTAAGTAGAAATCAGTAACTAGTGATTACCTTCCTCAATTCATGAAGCTTTTTATACCTCATTTAAATGAAAACTTGACACTAAACTAAATAACATGTAGTATCGATGAGATTTATGCATACGTTTTATACAAAATCATGGAATATTTAACTATTAAGTACCTTGTAATATGAATAATTTCATTGAAAACATTATAGCAGAAGAGGTTTTGTGGAGATTGTAGTAGTTTCAGTAGTTGAGATCATGAGTTAATTGAAACTAGATCACCATAGAAGACCTAGAAGCACTGGATGGACGTTTCGTCCCATCGTGGGACTCCTCAACAGTGCGCATCTACGACCCCGCTTCGCGGGATTCGAAATCAGGACCTATCAGTCTCTCGCGCAGATGCATATATTTCCTGAAAATTGGTAGATTATCTACTTCCTCTTACAACTCATCCAAATCATAATTGTGTAGCCTTAAGGATCACTGGTTTAACAAAAGTGACAAATTTCATAGATTTAGTTTTAATGACTATAATCTTCCTTCATCTTGAGTAAATTATAATTTAGTTGAAGTAACCATTTTAAGTTATGAAAGTTACACTATTCGAAATACACTTATATATTGTTTGAATGAAATGCATGAAAAACCTTTGAAACTATCAATTTATATATTACCTTGATATGTAAGTGAATTCTGATCAAGTACCCTTTTACACTTCAGTTGTTTTTGTTGTTGCTGTATTTAACTACTTAATTATTACAGCTAGTATACATAATTCTATGAATGTGGTTTCCACATACAATATCTTTATATCTCATCACAAATCGACATTTATCTGTTTCAGTGGTTAAGATCATGAGTCAGTTGAAGCTAAACCACCATGGGAAACCTAGAAACACTGGACGGCCGTTTCGTCCTATTGTGGGACTCCTCAGTAGTGCGCATCCACGACCTCGCCCCCTGCTGGATTTGAACCCAGGACCTACTGGTTTCGCGCGCGAGCACTTATCCACTAGACCACTGAGCCGACCGGTATCTAACGGTGTTAATGTCTAACTTCAACTAATCCACGAAATTGAGCGACACATTCACTATTGTCTTCAGTGAGTTACTACCTCACAACAGACCTGGTTGAACTTTACTGGTCACTACTTCTCACTAGAACTCCAGGATATACCGATATACTGAATCATGATCTTAACCATTGAAATTACTACAATCTCCACAAAACCCATCTGATATTTATCTGTTTGTTTGTTTTTTCTTTTCTTTTTTTTACTTTACATTTACAGATATTGGAGTAGCTTACGTAATCTAGTTGGTTCATTATTAGCTAGTTTAAAATCGATTGTTAGTTTATTAGTTCTATTATTTTTATTCATTGTCATATTCGCTTTACTTGGTATGCAATTATTTGGTGGAAGATTTAATTTTCCAAGAGAAGAAAAGCCAAGATCAAATTTTGATAGTTTTTATCAATCCCTTATAACAGTTTTTCAAGTGAGTATCTTTGTTTTTTTTTAAAAATATGTTTCTATCATTATCGATAAATATTTGAATATCAGAAGAGGTTTAATGGAGATTGTAGTAATTTTAATGGTTGAGATCATGAGTTAATTGAAGCTAGACCATAATGGAAAACCTGGAAGCACTGGATAGCCGTTTCGCCCTATTGTGGGACTCCTCAGCAGTGCACATTCACGACCTCTGCTCGCGAGATTTGAAACCAGGACCTATCAGTCTGGCGAGCGAATATTCAACTTCTAGACCACTGAACCTGCCGGCATCCAATGGTGTTAATGTTTAACTTCAACTAATCCGCGAAATTGGGCGACACATTCACCATTGTCTTCAATGAGTTACTACCTCATAACAGACCCGGTTGAACTGGACTTGTCTCTGCTTCCCACTAGAACTCCAGGATATACCTTTTGAAGCCAGTCACAAGTGAGAATATGTTGATTATTATCAGAAGGAGTTTTGTGAAGATTGTAGTAATTTAAATAGTTGAGATCATGAGTCAATGGAAATCTTGGAAGCACTGGACGGCCGTTTTGTTCTATTGTGGGACTCTCCAGCGGTGCGCATCCACAAACGTTTATTATTTCTGAAATAGATTTCTCTTTGTTTGTAAATATCATTTTAAAAAATGCTGAAACGTTTCAATAAATAAACCAATTCTTAGATTTTGAGTAGTGGATTGTGGAGGTTGTTGAATTTTATTGAAATCATGGAAAGATCAGTGTTAGACCACCAATGAAAAACCGGAAGTACTGGATGTCTGCTTCGTTCTAATATGGAAATCCTCAACAGTGACCAACAACAATTCCTCATGTATGGCTCAGATCGAGAACCTTCGGTCTCATACGAATGCTTAACATCTACATCATTGAGCCGGCATCCATCTTCCAATTTCGTCAATACGAACATGGTCACGCGATATTGTGAATTAGTTAATGTTCGACAATAATACAATTTTATGACAGCTTAATGGTCTAGATTTTAAACGTTAGCACGAGACCCATGTTCTTGGGTTCGAGTTCCCCATGTTAAATTTTAATGAACAAATTTTAAAACTAATCAATCTTAATTAACTACACTAATAAACCTATGAATTAAGGTAACGAAATACAATAAAGTCTAATCTCAATTGTCAATATAAAATTCCAATCCTAGTTGATCTTATGTTAGTTAAAAAAGAACAATTAATATCTTTCTTCAAACTATTTTATTCTGTATAATAAATCAATTCAATTCATTTACATCTTAATTATTTAGTATTTACCTCCAATTGAAGATAACGCGATTCGTTAAATAGTTTGTTCAAAGTTCTTGAATAATGTTACTGTTTTTTTTGTTTTTTCTTCTGTCAAATTCTTTGAAATTTTCTCTTCATACGTGTTAGTTACTAAGATTAATTGATTTTTTTTAATGGTTCCTTAGATTCTATTGTTTGTTTGTTTGTTTTTTTGAACTTAGATTTTAACTAGTGAAGATTGGAATGAAGCTATGTACAATGGAATTCGTTCATATTCAAATAGTCGTGTTGGTATTATGGTCTGTTTATATTATGTTATACTTTTTATATGTGGAAATTGTATCCTTTATCTGTAGAACCTTTTACATTTATAACTTTGAAATGATTCACTTAATTTTGTTTTATTTGTATCCTCCCATTAATATTTAGGACTACAATTGATCAGTCTGATGTTGGCATATGTGACAGATCAATTGCAGTCCTAAATAACAATAGGAAGATACAAGTAAAACAATACTAATTGAATTTAAACTCTAATCCATTGCACAAGCAAACGGTTATCAGAACTCAGTAGTTAAGTGGGTAACATGATGGCCTTTGAGCCGAATGGTGCTGAGTTCGAGTCCCAGAGTGAACACCAATTCTGAGATGCAGGTACATTCAGTTGACGAGTCCCAATTAGGACGAGACGCACGTCCTGGATTCCACTGCTAACCACTAACCATCTTTGCTTAAAAAGTTTGAAATGATAATAATAATTTACTATTAGGTGTTACATAATATTCATTATTGATTTCTATGCATAATATGTATTTAATTAAAGTAAACCTTTAATAGATATTGTATTTTAGTTTGTTACGATATTAAGTTTAAGAGATTATTGTCACCTTATGGAAAACATCAGAGTTTTCAATACAAATGTCAAGACTGTTCTACTGTATGGTGCAGAAACCTGGAGAACTACGAAAGCCATCATCCAGAAGATACAAGTGTTTATTAACAGTTGTCTACGCAAAATACTTCAGATCTGTTCATCAGACACTATCAGCAACAACCTACTATGAGAGGGAACAAACCAGGTGTCAGTGGAAGAAGAAATCAGGAATAAGCGTTGGAAATGGAGAGAACACACATTGAAGAAAGCACACACCTGAGTCACAAGGCAATCCCTCACATGGAATCCTCAAGGCCAAAGGAGAAGAGTAGGACCAAATAAGAATACATTATGCCGAGAAATGAAGAGGGACATGAAAAGAATGAACAACAATAGGATAGATCTAGAAAGGAAGGCTCAGGACAGAGTGAGTTGTAGAAGGTTAGTCAGCGGCCTATGCTTCATTGGGTGTAACAGGTGTAAGTAACTTAGAACATCGTAATACCTATTAAGAGTACTTTGTGGTTGGTGTTTCGTAAACTTTTCAAATATCATTCAAAAGGAAATTTAGTAAAACACATTACTTTGATATTTATACACTAATGAATGTTAAATATATTTGTATTTTACATCTACCTATTATGAGTTCTCAATATAAATAATAAGAGATGACTCTGAAATTATTAACAGCAATGAAACTATGTATTGACTTGTTCTTAATTCATAAATTCTATTCTATTCATTTAAATACAAAGTGTTTAACTGTCTGTTCATTAAAAGCTTTTGTATAGTGGAAAGAAAAATGGTGTCATCTATAATGTTTATTATGTCATAGGTATTTAACCTAATAAGAGAGAGGGTTCATAATTTTAATACAGTTTTTTCTTCTTATTTTCTACAAGGGGGAGTAGTTTTTAGTGCACAAACATGAACTTGACTACACTATCTGTTTTTTGTAAGGTTTAGTCAAATTTTAATTCTTCTTTGATATACACAAGTGAGTTGTACTATTGCAGTACAATTGTCTTTTCTTAATGGAGTTTTGTTCTATGAGCTGGATGATTTGGTCATGGAGCTTTTCCTTGTTCTTCTGAACGACATCATTATAACAAACTTCAGATAGAAGTGAACACTTCACTTCACATGAGCTACAAATCTTCACCATTTCAAATTGTGTCTTCATTTTTTCCAGCTATGTTACCATAGACTTAAAACATTTACAACTATAAGGTATTTATTAATTATTATTACTATTACAAAGAAGGTGTGATTATAAGGCTAGTATATATAAGTTTCAATATATATATATATATTGTTAGACATTAACACCGTTGAATGCCGGCTTAGTGGTCTAGTGGTTAAGTGCCTGCGCGTGAAACCAGTAGGTCCTGGGTTCTAATCCCGCGGGGTGCGGGATCGTGAATGTGCAATGCTGAGGAGTCCCATACTAAGACGAAACGGCCGTCCAGTGTCTCGAGGTTTTCCATGGTGATCTAGCTTCAATTGACTCATGATTTGAACTTGTGAAATTTTTAAAAATCTCCACAAAACCCATTCTGATAATAATTTCCTTAACTCAGTAATAACATGTAAATAGATATACTACTCAATGTCTTTTTGGCTATTGCTGTTGATAATTTGGCTGATACTGGTCAAATGGAAGAGAAAAAAGAAGAAACAGATGGTGAAAAATCAGATAATAAAGAAAATGAAATAACTAGAAATGAAGATATTATAATTGAAGGAGAAAATGATAAAGAAAATAAAATGTATCAGTCAATAGACAATCGAAAAACATCTACTACAATAATTAATACTACTGAAAATAAATTAACTGAAGTACATCATGAATTTAATGATGTTACACAATTATTAGATCAATTAAAGTAAGATATTTTACTTAAATTAGAAACCTTTAAATTATGATTCATCAGCTTAAGGATTTATATTTCATAGTGCCTCATCTAAAAGTCTAAATTTGACAACTTCTTTAATATGCTAAAAATTGGTAGGTTTCGAAGCAAGTTTGGATCGGTTGATAAGATAAAGGTGAATGATTATTAAGTAAGTAATAATTAGCTTACTTTCTGTACATTTCAAATTCTAATTTTACAACTCTATAGCTAATCCGAAATTGTATAGACCCTCTCTCATTTTCATTTTCTTTTTTCTTTTTCCATCTCCTTCATTTCATATTATAAAATGGATTAATTTAGTTTATTTCTAAATTCTTATTTAATTTCCCTATGGAATTTAAGTATAAATCTATATCATCTTTATTATTATTATTATTATTATTATTATTATTATTATTATTATTATTATTATTATTATTATTATTGATTTCTTGGTATCTAATACATTGACAACTATTTCTTTTTTTTGTTAATTTTGTTTCCGGGTTTATGTTTAACCAAAATTATTCTCTTATTATAATACTGTTGTTGTTTATTTTTTTATGCTTTCGTTTTTTTCTTCTTTGTACGTCTTTCTATTCATCGTAGTTAATTGAAGCTAGACCACCATAGAAAACCTGAAATCACTGAATAGTCGTTTCGTTTTATTGTAGAACTCTTCAGCAACTCAGTGGTTTAATAGTTAAGCGCTCGCACGCGAGACTGATAAGTCTTGGGTTTGAATTTCACAAGGCAGGATCGTGAATGTGCATTGCTGAGTAGTCTCACCATAGGACAAAACGGCCATTCAGTGCTTTTAGGTTTTCCATGGTGGTTTAGCTTCAATTAACTTATGATCCCAACTATTAAAAATGACTGTAATATCTACAAAACCCCCTGTGATACTAATTTTATATTAATACCATGTTTACAACTAAAAAATATAATTTCTGAATAATTAAGTAATTTTAATTAGTTTATTGAATTTTTCTTTTTTAATTATATATGTATATTTATGTATTTATTGAAGCTTTGATGTAAATTGGTATTGTTTACTTGAGTCTTCCCATTGTTATCTAGAACTGTAATTGATCAGTCATTTATTGGTTTATGTGCAAACTGTGCGTATTACCTCGACATAGCCTTAATTCACAAGTGTTCTAAGCAAAGATGGATAGTGCCTAACAGTAGAATCCAGGATGCGCAACACTTTGTCTTATTTCGGACTCGTCAACTGGATGTGTCCACATTTCAGAGTTGATGTTCACTCTGGGACTCGAAACCAGTACCGTTCACTTCGAACACCATCGCATCATCCACTTAGCTACTGAATCTTCATAGCCACTAATTTGTGCAATGGGTTCGAGTCTCGAAGTGAACTTCAAACCTGTGATACAGGTACATCTAATTGATGAATTTCAAATGGGTCGAGACACGCGTCGAACTGGATTTCACTGCTAGCCATTATCCATTTTTGCTTAGGTCTAAAATGGTATGATGTTTAATATTTGTTTGATACTTGTTAGCATAATAAATCTGCATTCTTGATTATAAGATTGCTTTTTATGAGATTCTGACTAGAGTCACATAGTGTCACAATGAGCAATGATTATTATAATTGAAATCTCATAGTATTTAAATGTTTAGGGTGATTTACCTATCGTAATAGTCAAGTATAGCTTGAAAGCTGTAAACATTTTCTATATTCAATAAATAGCTCAAATTGTACCTTTTTAAGTAAATAAGAATGGACCTATTAGGTGATGCTCGGAGGTAGTCGACAGGAAACCCTGGATCCGGGTTTCGTGCTACTTGGCACCTGTAATCTTGAGGGAACTTGCGCTCTCTGGCGGTTTCGATCCCGTGTCACCCAGCTTCACAGTCAGAGGCGTTACCACTGAGCTATCCGGGCCGCGACCGACCTTCTGTAGGACTGAGATGTAATCACAATTGATTGATCACTACTGACGAGTGACAAGTAGCATGAAACCCGGGTCCAGAATTTCCTGTTGACTACCTCCAACCACCATCTAATCTCAACATAGCGCATGCTATGTCGAGTCACCTAGACTGGTGGACACTATTGCAACATGGTCGATAGCATTCGATCTGCACTAAGAAGGACGACATACATGATATTGATCCCCACCAAGTGATCAACCAGTTGTGAAAAATGAATCTATGCCAAAATTTATTCGTTAGATGTTAGACCAATTTATCGTTTATTTGAGTAATTTTAACATTAAAATCCATACGGAAAAAAATGTCCTTCATTCCAATCTGGGAGATGCTAAATTCTCAGAAATCATTTGGTAAACGTTTCATTTTTGAAATTTTATTTTAGAAATTTGAGTTCCTCATTTTCGTGCCTAAAGCACCCACTTTTACCTTCAGTTAATGTTCCCCACTTGGAAGGACCTTAGATGTCATTAGTTCATTTCCTCTTTTAATACGCTATTTTGTGACGTTTCTGATAAGTCGTGTAGGTTGAACGCTATATACGATTTCTAAGCTATTCCCGTAACCCGCAGACTAGAACTACACAGCGACTTGAACTCTAGAGAGAAGACACAAGTATGAGAGAAAACACTTTATTCCAAGGTTCATTCTAGTACAGAAAATCAAGGGTATTTATAGATGTTGGCGTCTGTTAAATTAACATCATATTTCAGCCAATCCGTTAACGTCATATTATGCTACCGACCAATGGTAGCACGCCAAGCTGGAATTCTCGAACGTTCCATCATACTCTGTTTGGCTAGGCCCTTCGGCTCCTTTTTGGGCCTCTGGAGGCTCCGTTGAAGTTCTCCGGAAGCCGACCCAACAGTTTCTCAATGACATCTTTGCATTGTATATATGTACATGAGTTGTGTTCCTGTTCTTTCGTGCTTCTAGCTGCTTGTGAAATATATGTTTCCCCGGGCTGAATCTGGTCTTCTTCCTCTAGTTAACACGGCTTGAATGCAGTGGAATAGTTCAGCTTGTCCTGTTATTTTGTTGCTGACTGTCGTTCCATTCACAGGTTTTACGTGATATCGTATTCACTTCAAGTGCAGTAGCTCTCAGCTAACATGTAATCTGATGAAAATTTCTGACTCTTTGATTTGATTTTCTAAAGGTCAGATTATATTAAGAATTATCTAGATCTTACTTGACATAGGAAATTGAAAAAAAACCGCTTGAGTTGATCTGGTTATTGGGACAATTGATTATGAACTGATTTCTAGAATGTATAAAAACTTTTATTCCTTAAACAGTTTTGTTCCACCTTTCGAATAATTCAGTCTCTAAATAACCTTCAATGAATTCTATTTATTAGTATGAAACTAACTAATTTTCTTCTCAATATTTGAATATTCTACTTCAAAAATGTAAATAAATATAATTTCATGTTTGAATAAAGGTGGTTGTTCAGGAATTACTTGATTCTTCGAGTTATCTTGTACATACAGTCAGTCAGTGACTGACTGACTGACCTCACCTCTAAACACAATAGCATTTGATTTTATGAATTAAATGAAATAAGCATCAATCAGGTCTCCATGTAATATATCAATATTACTATATTTTTTCTGGATGCATAAATTAGGTCTTCTGGAGTTGATCCAGATGACTTCGGCTATGTAAAGCAGTCGTAATCTAGCTCCTTGAGGTAGATATTTTGGAACTTGATATAAAACAGAGAAAGCCTCCCCTATTTTGATATGATGTTCAGTATCTACCGAGTGAGAAAGAATGGTGCTGTTAATCGATTTGGTGACTCCTTTTCCCAACCATACTGGTACATGTTCACGAACACGCAAGGATAAAGCCCTCTGAGTACGGCCTATGTAACTAGCTCCACAGGAGCAGTTGAATTGGTGCATACACATGGAGGAGCCCATCTTCGGTAACTTATCCTTGATTAGTTATGTGAGTACTGGTTTAGTCGAGAAAGTTATGTATAACTTGGAGGCATGAAACGTCCTTTCGACAAATCTTTTGGGTCGACGTGTTAGAATATCACCCGCTATGTCGCCTTTAAAGTCAAGTTTCAGATATAAGGTCTTTTTTACTGACTATGTCGCAATGTCTTCTCTTCTTAATACTTTGTACGAGGTATTTTTTGACGAAATTATCAGGATAGCCATTATTACTTAGAGTGATCTTTAGTATAACTATTTCGTCCTCCACACTGTCTTTAGAACATAATAACTTGATTCTGTGGTTGAGACACTTAACCAAATTTATTTTATATTGCAGAGGTGTAAAGCTTTGGAAATGGGTATACTGACCCGTCCATGTACACTTTCTAAACATATTTCGCTTTATGGAACCATCTATCCTTCTAGAGAGTAGGACATCCAGAAAAGCTATGTTATTGTCCTTCTGCTCCTCGCTGGTGAATTTAATGGCTGGGTGGACATTATTGAAAGCGTCTAACACCTTCTGTTTGTCAATATTTTCGTCCCATATGATTAATGTGTCATCTATGTATCGACAGTAGTAATCAAGCTTATATAGGATGTCTTTAAGCGGTCCATTTTCTAGTTTGGTCAGAAAAATATTAGCAAGGATCGGGCCTAGAGGTGATCCAATTGCTACCCCATCTACTTGTCTGAAAAATTCATTGTTAAACTATATTTCTATATATAATTTATGTACTTTTTCACTTTTAGTTTAGATCCAATCAATGAAGAAGCTGATCCTGATCGACGCATGTTTGATCGAGGTAAATTTGAAAAATATTACTAATTACTTTTGTATTCTCAAACTAATTAATTGTCAAGCTTACTTTGAATTAGAACAATTTCTATATTCATGTGTAGATTTTCATCAGTCGTGTGAATAGTCTAGGAATTGAATTATTATTTGTGTATCGATTATTTATTTGGATTTTGGTAAAAGCAATAAATGAGCGTTGATTCTCAAAATAATAAATACAGTGTGGTGTATGCTACTGATGTCGATAAATATAAATAGTATGTATCATCAATCGAAAGTGAAATGTCTGGTGGCAGAAGGTTAAAAAGATCAAAGAAAAGAAAAAAATGAATCGAGAATGATTGGTGTGGAAACGGCTGAACAACGAAGTCCGAGACGATTGATTGATACTTTGCAAATGAATAATTTACTGTATGTTTCTTAGATTTTACTAAGTGATTCTGTAATTTTGTATTCAAGTACATTTTTGGTTGTTCCTACTTGTGTTCTCGTTCACTACAGTAGTATTTTAAAAAAGTAATAGTAGTCTTGTAACAGCATATGTCACATCCCATTTTTAACTAATAAACATGACTCAGAAATGTTATTCGTAAAAATCCTGACGTTTCTTTTGGCTATTTATTTTGAGTTTCCCTTTTAGAATTAGTCAGAATTCCAATAAATCTCAAAATAAATGTGTGACATTTATTTAATTACTAATGTTAAATAATATATTAACTTTTATAAGCGAAGATGGACAGTGGAACCCAGGACGCGCGTTTCATCCTAATTGGGACTCGTCGACTGGATGTACCTGCATCTCAGGATTGGTGTTCACTCTAGGACTCGAACCCAGTACCGCTTGCTTCAGACGCCATCACGTTACCCACTTAGCTACTGAGTCCTGATAACCGGTTGCTTGTGCAATGGGGTGAATTTAAATTCAATTGGTGTTGTTTCGCTTGTAACTTATTATTGGAATATATGCATACTGTGCGTATGCCTTGATATTGCCTTAATTCAAAAGCTTTTATAAACAAAGATGGATAGTGGCTAGCCAATAACAGACTGGTCAATTGAAGTCTTAAACCTCACTGGGAAGATACAAGCCAAACAATACCAAGTGAATATATATTTACTTTGTTGCATAAAAATAACATTCTAATCAATAATTTCACACTTCAATGACCTCTTTGAGACATTTGTATTTCTATTTTAATGAGTACAGTTAATTAATGCGATGATTATTAGTATCTATGACTATAAGATAAAAAAAGTGTAGACATAACCACAACATCATTTATTGTACCATGGATATAATTAAAACCAAATGACTTATATGAATATTATAATCTATGTTATTATTGTAAGTATATCATAAATTTAACTCGAATTTTGTTTACGGTTGATTTTTGAACATAGAAGATAAACAAAGAACAGATGATGAAATTGATGATTTAAAAGAAGATCGAAATAGAGACAGTCATAATGATGATGATGATGATAATGACGATGATGATGATAATGATGATAGAAGTGCTGATGAAACTGATAAAATGAAAGATACAACTAGTTCAAGACGTCATTCAGAAATTAGTTCAACAAAGAAAATAAAACCAATACCGAATGCTTCTTCATTTTTCATATTCAGTCCAACTAATCCGTAAGTATTTATATCTTGTTTAAATATCAAATGTCAGTATTGATTCTCAATTTGAATAGAATCAATTTCTGTTTCACCTAATTTATTTAGTTATTTATTTGAACACATAAATACTGGTAAAAGGGGGCACCAGATACATATGCGCCACACAAGTCTCATTTGATTTGTGTGAAGGCTGTGACACTGCCCCGGATGCCCAAACCGAAGCAAGTAGTTTTCTTAGGGGGCCATACCCGGAGCCTTCGACCTTAAGGTCTAATCCAAAAGGCGGTGAAGTAACGTAAGGAGATGCAGTCTCATGGTAGCCGGTGACCAACGATTGGTTCATACGCCATTTGTCCCTTCAGGATCCTGGAGCTCATGTACACCATTGGTCTGGAATCAGGGTTTTCTAACTCCCCTAGGTGGACTCTCTATGTCCACCAAACCGGTTAAAGCTCTGGACATTTGCCTTTCGTCCTCTCAATTTCGTAAACAACACCCCCACCACGAGGAGGTAGTGAGTAGGACTTTTCTGGCAGAGGCTATATACGCGTGACCATGTTAGAGCATTTGGAGAGAAAGAGCTAACTTTCCCCAATCTCGGCCGTACCAGAGCATTTGAGGGCGTTTCACCCAAACTTTAATTTGTTACTAAAAATAACATAGATATAATATTCCAAATGATTTATTAACCTATCTTAAAAGAGGTTAATTAAACCTGTATTTTGGATATTTTCATTGATAAAAATTTATATCCGTTAAATATTTTAATAAAGTACCTGGGAAAATGGAAAACAGTTTTGAGGGGGAAAACAGTCTATATTGACGACATATGAGTGAAGTTGTGCTTCTCATCATTAAAATTATGTAAGAAAACATCCACATTTATTGTTAAGATAATGTGTATTTACAAGAATTTATGTTACACGAGGCGAACAGAAGTAACTAAGTGATATATATATATATATATATATATATATATATATATATATATGTTTGAGATCATGAACTGGATGATGTTAAAGCATCATTGAAAACCTGGAAGCACTGTATGTTCTATTGCGGGACTCCTTAGAACTGCGTATCCACGATCCCGCTAACGGGATTCGAACCAAGAATCTTCGGCCTCGCGCGCGAACGCTTAACCTCTAGACAACTGTATCAATGTCCAACCTCAATCAATCCATTAACACCGTTGGATACCGGTCCAGTGGTCTAGAAGTTAAGCGTTCGCTCTCGAAAAGGAAGGTCCTGAGTCCGAATCGAGTGTGCGTTTTTGTGAATGCACACTGCTCAGGAGTCGCACACTACGACGGGACGGCTTTCCAGTGCTTCCAGGTTTTCAATGATGGTCTAACATCAATCGGTTCATAATCTCAATCGAAAACCTAACAATCTCCACAACCCAATATTGACTATTTATTAATTTTTTTAGTCTACAAATTCATTATAATTTTTAATCTATCCAGTTGTAATTACCTTCTCAATTTCCTAATACTATAATTTCTTTTTGGTACTCAACAGATTTCGTGTAGCCTGTCATGAAGTTTGCAATCACAATTATTTCAATAATATTGTACTTGTATGTATCTTAGTTAGTAGTGCTATGCTTGCAGCTGAAGATCCATTAGATGCATCATCTGCACGTAATCAGGTATTGTTTTATTAAAAAATGTGTTAAAAATTTCTGAATGGTTGAAATCATGAGATGACTGAACCTAGACGAACATGGAACACCTAGATGCGCTAGACGGCCGTTTCGTCCGAGTATGAGTCTCCTCAGCAGTGCGCATCCACAATTCCGCCCCCCGCGAGATTCGAACCCAGGACTTATCAGTCTCGCGTCCGAGCGCTTAACCACTAGACCACTGAGCCGGCCGGCATCTAACGGTGTTAATGTTTAAATTTCAACCAATTTAATTTCTAAATTTATAGAAATAATTTTTTTCCATATCTAATTTGGTTAGTAAATTTTTCTTCATCAAATAATAGTGATCTAGAGTTACGTACGCCTGTTACACATTGTGGACGACCATAGGCCGCCCAGTGATCTAATGTAGTTTTATTAAATCCTTGTTTGAAATTGTTATCAATTACTACTGATAACTTCTTACGGACATTTATCGATATGTCTATACAAATGAGAAATTAAAATTAAAGGAATCTGATAGTGAAAAAACTTTATATGATTATATATTTGAATGTTTTTGGTGGAGTTTCATTCTGTGTGTTGAATAGTTTGGTCGTGGAACTTATATTGTTCTTTTGAACAATATCATAAGCCCAAACTTCAGGTAGAAGTGAAGTGTCTGGATTACTCCATATATGACTAATGGCTTGTCTTGTCGACCTCAATCTTGATTGGTTATAGTCGACCTTCAAGCAATCATTATCTGCCTGTTTATTTTGATTGCATCTTCCTCTTATTTGATTCTTGATCCTATCATTGTCTGTGAGTTTTCTTATTGTTTAATAAATTGGATTGATTTTGATGTGTTTGTTGATTATTGATTGACCTCTTTATTGGTTTTGACGATCAATTCATCCAAGAATGATGACTTGTTGTTCAACACGTTTTCTATTATGAATTTGTTATCGAAGACGTTGTTGGTCAAAGTGTAAGTCTTTTACAGATGATTCGCTTCGATAATGACGAATGTGTTGTCCACATAATGTATCCATATTTTTGGTTTGACCACTGGTAAAGTTAAGCCTTCTAATCTCTGCATTATTGCTTCTGAAATGAGTCCTGATATTGGTGATCCCATTGGTGTTCCATTCGTCTGTTCGTTGATTGTATTGTTGAGTCTTTGTACATATTGTTTCTAAAAATTAATTAAGTTCATATCAAATTTCAAGTGATCAGAAATTACATCTTGAAGATTTACTTCAATCGTAGTTTGCAACCATTTATTATAATCTATATGTTCTGCATATAATATTTTTGTGACATTTTAGTTTTTTAAAAATTTCCATCATATTAAAAGCAAGTATATTTATAAATGAAGTACATTCATTGAATAAGCTGTCATCTGGTTGTACAATTATAAGCTCTAATTGGTGTTCCAAAACAAACATAATGTGCTCACTGGTGACTAGCTTCTAGAGGGAATTATCGGAGTTCTAGTGAAAGGCCGTAACCAGTGGGGTTCAACTGCATCGGTTGTCAGACACCTACCTACCGAAGACAATGGAAGATGGTCACGCAATATCTTGAATTGATTGAGTTTAGATATTAACACTGTTGGATGCCATCTTAGTGTTCTAGAAGTTCAGCGTTTTCTCACGAGATCGAAGGTTCTAAGTTTGAATCTTGTGTGCAGGATTGTGCATGTGCACTATTGAAGAGTCCTATACTAAGATGAAACGGCCATCCAGTGCTTCCAGGTTTTCCATGGTGGTCTAGGTTCAATCGACTCACGATTTCAACTATTGAAAGATCAAATCTGTCAAATGTTTTAACAAATGTTATAATGAAAACAACAATAGTAATAATAATAAAAAGGTATATGAAGATAAATTTGGTGCTACAAAAATATAGAAAATAATAGTCTGTATGTACATTAGTCAATTTATATCATCTTATAATCAATATGATTAATTTATGAAGCCCGAATTCGGTACAGAAAAAAAAGGCAGTTGGGTATATCTTTTTCCGTGTAAAACTCAGGGTTTCTGATTTGAATAATTAATGTTTCTGTTACTTGAGCAATTATGAGTCCGATGGATTTAGGCAGATAAACGTTCACATAATATACTATAGTAAACGACTAATCCGTATAATTTGTATAATTTGTATGCTCAACCACTGACTGCCCCGACGTGCGATGTTTTATGGTGTGGGAGTAGGTTAGAAAAAAAGCTAGAGGCGGTCAGACCAAAACATGGTACAAATCCATAAAGTAACCGACAAGTGAACTGAGTCATGTTGGTAGATGTAGACTACCTGGTTGGGATCCACCAAACGATAGTAGCCGATGGTTAGAGACCTTGGATGTGACATGGCTCAAAATCGTTTGTAATGGTGTGCTCAGATGCATCCACTCTTTGTGTTTTCCAAAATTCTAATCTTCTGAATTCTTCATGTCCCTTTCTTTTTTCTCTTTCCAAATTCATTTCGCTGGATTATACTCCTTGAATAAAATCTTCAAACCCTAATCTTTCCGATTACTGCTTATACTTTTACTACCTCTACTACTATCGGATTTGAATCGACAATTGTACCTCTGTGCTAATGTGCTATGGCAACTTGAATTGATGTACGTACGTACGTTCGTTCTACGTTCTTACTGAATGACAGACAACTGAACTATCAATTGTTTTAACTAAATCTATTTAATTTACCATTTCTTTCTACATACATATTATTGTACACGTTACATAATCTTGAATCAAACAATTGTTCTGATTTGTAATTACATCATTAACCTCATAATTGAAATGAATCTTGAAGTTTAAAAAATACATCATCTGTAGTTAATGCTAATATCTTTCCTTAATTTACTTGTTATTGGATGGAACGTGATTTGAAATTGGTACAACGTTTTAGGTCATCGTAGTCAGTCAATGTTCTAACATCATGATTAGTACAGATCAATTGAAATCCTTCTATTTGCTCGATCAAACTTTTATCATTTCAATATAACAATAATATTGAAGTTATTATCTTATGTTGTTTTTGTTTTTTAATTTCAGATACTGAACTACTTTGATTATTTTTTCACTTCTGTGTTTACAGTGGAGATAACTTTGAAAGTAAGTTTGACATATGGTACATATTACATTTCACTTTAAGCGTTCGCACGCGAGACCGAAGGCCCTTGGTTCGAGTCCCGCGAGCATGATCGTGGATGCGCACTGCTGAGGAGTCCCACAATAGGGCGAAACGGCCGTCCAGTGCTTCCAGGTTTTCAATTGTGGTGGTCTAACATCAATCGGTTCATGATCTCAATAAAAAAAATCTCTTTCGAATTGTTGATTAAATAAATTTATGCTTAATTTAAAATTGAAAGTTTTATCTTTTTTTGATTGAAATCATGAGTCAATTGAAGCTAGACCACCATGAAAAACGTGGAAGCACTGGATGGCCGTTTCGTCCTAGTGTGAGACTCCTTAGCAGTGCACATCCATGATCTCACCTCGCGAGATTCGAACCCAGAACCTATCAATCTAGCTTCAATTGACTCATGATCTCAACTAATGAAACTAATATAATATGCGCAAAACCCCCTTCTGTTATTAATCACCATATGCTCAACAGTGACTGGCTTCAAGAGGTATTTCCTTGAGTTCTAGTTAGAAGCAGTGACCGGTGAAATTCAACCAGGTTTGTTGTGAGATATCAACTCACTGAAGACAATCGTGGACGGTGGCGCAATTTTGTGGATTGGTTGAAGTTAGATATTTACACCGTTGGATGACGGACGGCTCAGTGGTTTAGTGGTTAAGTGTTCGCGTGCAAGACTGATAGGTTCTGGTTTCGAATCTCGCGGGGGCGCGATCGTGGATGTGCACTGCTGAGGAGTCCCACACCAGAACGAAACGGTCGTCCAGTTCTTCCATGTTTTCCATTTCGGTCTGGCTTCAATTGACTCATGATTTCAAGTATTGGAATTACATATGTGTTCTGATTGAGAGAAATATAAGTTGTGAAAATGAATATGGAATTAGACAAGGGTTTTCGCTATAATGAAAAGACTGTCAAGTTACTTCTCTATATTTCTCACTTTTTTGTAACAACTGCATTCGGGTCTATTAGTATCTATAGTACACAGCTGATTTTATTCTGCTTACATAAATTGGGCTTTATGGTGTCTTATTCGGTCTCCAACAAGTAAGCTTTGATAAGTTTCTAACCGACTTACGTTTTTTGGTCGGATTTTGTAAGGATCGGTCGTGGACAGACTAAATCGCAACACTACGAATCATCGTTGAACAATCAATTGAATGAAACTCGTCACTATACATTAAATTCCTTGATTATGAGAAAGCATTTGACAGTGTGGATAGGAGGATTTTATGGAAACTTCTTCAACACTGTTGAGTATCTGAGAAGATCGTCAATATCCTACGAGATTCATACGACAAACTATACTTCAAATTCGTGTATAACACGCATTCTAAATGTAGACCGGAGTCAGACAAGGCTTCCTACTCTCTCCCTTTCTCTTTCTCTTGGTGTTTGGCTGGATTATGAAGACCTCAACATCTAACAGGGAGCACGGAATAAAATTGACAGGTTGGAAATAACTAGACTATTTACACGTGGCAGATGACCTAGCTCTTCTATCCCATACACACCAACAAATGCAGATGAAGACAACTAGTGTAGCAGCAGCAGCCTCTGCATCAGTAGGTCACAACATACACATGGGAAAAACTAAGATCCTCAAATACAATATGACCCGGTTTTAATTTCAATAGAGATATTATTTTATGGAGAAAGTGTGACAAAACCACTGTCCAAGATTCTATTACAACTTGATTGTAAATAAATAATGATACAGTTTATATACATATATCTGTTAAACATATAATTAATTCTGAAATTATTTAACTATAATATCATTAATTTTCTTTATTAGATAATTACTTATGGTTTGGTATTACATAAGGGAGCATTTTGTCGAAGCGCAAATAATATGTTAGATTTTATGGTAGTTCTTACATCAATTATTTCTTATCCAATTGAGTAAGTTCTATTGTGTATCTTTATCCTTTATCCCAAATTAAAGAGGAAATCAGTATTATCGTTACGGAGTTTATGGAGATTGTAATATTTTTAACAATTAGATTCATGAGTCGATCTAAGTTACGTAACCATTGAAAACTTAGAATCACTAGATGACTCTTCACTAATGCTCATCCATTATCCCACTTGAATTCAAGTCCTTTGGTCTCGCGCGAAATGTAGCCGTCCAGTGATCCCAAGTTTCCAATGGTAATTTAACTTGAATCGACTCGTGAATTTAACTGTGAAAACCAGTAGTGATTTTCAATCGTTTAAATATATTTACGCAAGTAATTGAAACATTTATATGTTATAAATTGAATCTCCAGAATTCTATTGTAGTATACCATAATTTCCTAAAGTTATCTGTATATTAGTTTATATTACCATTTCCAGTCGATCGCTTAGTGTAATAAACTTGTAACCAGTTCATATTGCTTATAAGCACGTAGTTGGAGTTAAGACATCATATTCATCTAGGCTTTATAAATAGAACTGAATATTACAAATATACAAGGTGCTTTGTTGTGATATAAACCGAATATTGTAAAAGTACTTGATTTCTTTGTAAAAATGTTTGAAGTATATTTAAATCCAAAGAGTATATAACACATCAATTATAGTTCAGTTGAATTCATTTAGTTCTTATTTACAACTTTGTTTCTAAATGTTTAAAGAGAATGTATCTATCTAAGACTTTCCAGTTCTTCTAGTTCTTCTTTGACGGTTTTTTGAAGTTAGAATGAAAACCAATTGTAATGTATGGAAGATCGATGGTCTTCTGTAAAATGAACATCTAAATTACTTTTTTCCAATTCACTTAGTATTCATTGTTTGATCACTCATGTTTACTTTGATTATTTGTCATGAAGATAATATAATACAGATAGAACTGTATAACTGTTTCCACTTACTTTAAGATTACTTGACTACGATTACAAATTTCTATTCTGTTTGAACACATAGATATTGGTACAAGGAGGCACCAAATACATAAGCGCCACACAGATATCATTTGATATGTGTGAAGGCTGTGACACTGCCCCGGGTGCCCAAACCGAAGCAAGTAGTTTTCTTAGGGGGGGAGATCCGGAGTCTTGGACCTAAAAGTCTGATCCACAAGGCAGTGGAATGACGTAAGGAGATGCAGTCCCATCGTAACCGATGACCAGCGGTTGGTTCTACGCCATTTGTTCCTTCAGGATACTGTAGCTCATGTGCACCGTTGGCTTAAAATGAGGGTTTTCCAACTCCCCTAGGTGGACTATCCGTATATACCAACCCGGTTAGAGCACCGGACATTGGCTTTTCGTCCTCTCAATTTCATGAACAACCCCTCTACCACGAGGAGGTAGTGAGTAGGACTTTTCTGACAGAGGCTATATACGCGTGGCCATGTGAGAGAATTTGGATAGGGAGAGCGGACTCTCCCCACTCTCGGCCGTACCAGGGCATTTGGGGGCAAGATTACAAGTAGTCTTATCATGAATCGAACTGACAAATAGTAAATATAGGTTCATATTTTCGTATGTAATATATTTGCCAATATAGCTATCTTACTTGTCAACATCATGTCATTTCATTGGTTTTGATTTCGAATTGAAGAATTTGTTTTCAAGTCAAATATTATTAAAATGTAATCTATTATTCATATTTTGTAATGATTAGTTTAACAAAGAACTAGATCTATTTAAAGATCTCTAATAGATGTTAGTTCATGATGAAATATTACTTATCAAGAAACAATTGAATTATTACAGTCAGCAACAACGTAGAATCAGGCATATATATGCATCGGTCGAAGTTGCCATACTTCATTAGCATAACAAGATGAACACCAATTCAATGGTAGTAATATATAAAAGTAAGATTTTATAGTACAGGAAGAAAAAATTAGTTCATAGAAAGAAGCTATTTTAATCTCATCGTTTAAGGGAAGATAGTGAGTGTATACGCCTACGCCGTTGTGATCGATTGTGAGCCATGTCACCCAGGTCTCCAACCATTGGTTACGATAGTCATGTGAACCCCAACCAAGTAGTTTGTATCTACCAACATAGCAAACATTTTAATAGAATCTTATTTGTCATCTCAATTAACATGAAGCTATTCCGTTTTTTTATCTTACTTAGTATTGATACAATATCTGTAGTTAAAATTCTTCGAGTCTCACGAGTATTACGACCTTTAAGAGCGATAAATAGAGCGAAAGGTTTGAAAGTAAGTTTTATGATTATACTCATATATGAATTTGATATATTATAACTTATTTCAAGAAAGAAATATCTCTCTCTGATAGATGAAGTTTTAAATTATGAAATTAGATTTTAAAAATTAATCCGTCTACTGAAAATGAATATCCAAGCACTACCCTAAAAGGGAATGCAAATCAATCAGTAACTCAATCTTTAAACTCATTGTCAACCTAGGTTACACCCTAATACGTAAATCATCATTCAGAATCTTTAACAAAGTAAAGAGAACTGGCTTTAAAAAGGTTTAGATGAAGAATTTGTACACAGTCAATGTTATAGAAATTTCGTGGATTGATTGAGGTCAGACATTAACACCGTTGGATATCAGGCAGCTCAGTGGTGTAGTAGGTTGAGCGTTTGCGTGCAAGACTGAAGGCCCTGGATTCGAATCTCGTGAGCAGGGTCGTGGATCCGCACTTCTGTGGAGTTCCACAATAGGACGAAACGGCTGTTTAATACTTCCAGGTTTTCAATGCTATAGCAAGTCACCATTTCAGACTCGAACTCTATGTACAGAAGAGTTATGTTCATTCTCTTATTCTCTCTCTGATCTTAACACTCCTTTGAATTCTACAAATTGTGATGATTAATTGTTACTTTCTTCTGCCCCTTCATATGATAGAAGATTGTCTTTAATTTTTATTCTATAGATTATCATTTATCATCACTTTTAAAAGTATTACATAATAGAATCTCTTAATGATGATACAATCCCCGTTTTATTCAATTACATGAAACCCCTTTTGATCATCTTGACTATGTTATAATAACACCGTTTTATTTTTATTGACTTGACTATACTACTATTAGACTACTATTTACCAAAATGATTTATAAATGGAATGATACAGTTTCAGAAAACAGTTGATATTGTTAAAAAGGAACCAAAACAACAAAAAAGAAACATTTTTCGCTGAATCAATGAGCTTCTTTTATTATTTCAATGTAAACAATTCAGAATGTGCATTGTTTTATATTATTGAATTTGGCACAGAATGCTCAGAAATACAATTTACACAATTAAAAAATCTTAATGTATTAAAAAATCAAATTGTATAATATACTTTCTTGGTTTCTTTTTCTTTAAATGGAGTTTTGTTGAGATCATAAGTCAATTGAAGCTAGACTATTATGAAAAATACCTGGAGGTACCTGAACGGTTGTTTCGTCCCGATATGGGATTCTTCAGTAGTGCTCATCCATGATTCTACGCCAAGGGGACTCGAACCCATGACTTACCAGTATAGCTTCAATTGACTCATGATCTCAACTATTGAAATTATTAGAATCACAACAATAATCCCTTCTGATAACAATTACTTTATTTCAATCTATTGCAGTTTTAATAACATCGGAGTAACAATAGTTCTAACAATGTTTTAAATGGTAGTATTATGTTTTATATGAAGCTGTTTCTAGAGAAAAGTAAATAAGAGATGATATCAAGTGATTCGACTAAGTCACCTCATAGATGTGCTTTGTATTTAGAAAACATTTACCTTCTATTTACATCAGTATGAGAGTAACACTGCTAATCTAAGTAAGGTACTATTTCACTGTGTACATAATAGATTATATTGCAAGTATAATTCCACAATGTTTTGTTCTATTATTTATGAAAGACGGAACTTGATATTTTGTCATCAAGAGATATGGCATATATATACGCGAATCTTTTGACCTGAAAGTGACTTAAAACTTTCGATATATGAAAGTTCTACGATTTACTTAGTAGAATCTTATAAACATTGATTGATACAAGAAATACATCATTAGTTTAAACTAATCAAATACATCGTTATTATGCTGAAAAAAACCCAGCTATAGTTGTGCTTAACACCAGATTTCTTGTGACTCAGCTTCTTAGTAATCTGTTTTTGTGTGAACCCTTTTAGTTTATTATTCAAATCAGAGGTAATCTCTTATCATCGACGGATTTTGAGATGCATATATTTTGCATCAGTGAACATAGCGCATTGTTTTTGGTGTTAGGACTAGACCCATTACTTTCAATATAGTACTAATACGAAAACCATAGGCCATAGTTGAAGAATTATTCTTTTTTCAATAAAGCTATTCCAAACGTGACAATAGTACGTAATGAATTCACTGTACTCTGAGCCTTCCTTGTCCAACCATTAACTATACGTAAACTAACAGACCATGTCAATGTTCATTTAATCAAGTCAATGGAAATTCAATGTGAACATCAATTTAAGAGACTTGAAGGTTTCGCTAGATATCTGTTGTTTGATTATTTCTTTTGTTTCTTAATGTTTACTATTTCTTATTACATAGATTGTTTGTATTCAGTTTTCTTGTTCATCATTCAATAATTTGATGATAAACAGAGCTACTCCGCTTATTGGTTACATATTTCTCGTGTTTTGTAAACTCCTTTCTTCTATAACAATTTTGTTTATTTGAAATGACTATCTTGTCTAATTCTGTATAGCAACTAATCAATTATAAACAAATCTAAAATCATTGATTGATACACAACTTATCACATCTATGCTATTATAAGGTTTAGAAAATGAACTAGTTAAAAACAATATCATTGAAATCACTAACCGATCAATATTAGATCACCGTTAAAAGACTCGAAACACAAGACAGTCATTCCGTCCCGGTATAGGACTCCTCAGTTATGGGAATTGACGTCCCCTCACACGGTAATCAAATCTAGAACTTTCAGTCTCGTGCGAGAACGTTCCACCTTTAGACCACTCAGTTGGCATACAATGGTGTTAACGTTGAACTTCAACCCCCCGGTGGATAACTGCGAGTTGCTAAAGTGTACCATACTGGGATGAAACACCCATATAGCTCTGACAGGTGTTAAATGGTGTTTTAACTCAGAGCGGTTCGTGATTTCAATGAAATTAAACAACCTCTAAACACCATGCTGACTGAATGAATTTCCTCGCTGAAGACATTTTTTTAATGATTTAATAGATATTTAAACTGTAGTTATACTGTAAAATAAATTTCACTTGTCATCCTTTTTTTTTGTTTTTTTGAATTCAACAGCATGTCGTCCAATGTGTTGTAGTTGCTGTAAAAAGTATTGGTAAAATAATGATGGTTACTTTTTTGCTTGAATTTATGTTTGCTGTTATTGGTGTACAATTATTCGCTGGAAAATTTCACTCTTGTACAGATAGTTCACGTCTTGTACCAAGTCAATGTCAGTAAGTGAATATAATGATAAGTAGTGAAATATTCAATTAAGAAGATAATAACACTTTTAATAATCACTTTACTCAATATTATATTTGATTACAGCTAAGAATTCTCATATCTAATACGTTTCATATGTCAGTATTCTAAAAAATCAGCAATGATTTTGTACTATTTTAATGCAACTGAAAATATTTCTGATAAGCTGATGAAATCTCTTTTCATTGCATAATATAATTACTCCTCGTGAAGGAACATAAGCCGACCACCAGCATTTTCCATCCAACCCTGTCCTGGGCAATCCTTTTCAGCTATTTCCAGGTGTGCTATTCATCCTTTTCACATCTGATTCTATTTCCCAACGTAATGTGTTCTTTGGCTTTCCACTTTTCCGCTTCCCTTCGGGATTAAAAGTTAGGGCTTGTCTTGTGGTGCAGTTTAGTGATTTGCGTAATGTATATCCTATCCATTTCCATCGTCTTAGCCTAAATACCTCTTCAACTGGAAGCTGTTTTGTTCTCTCCCACAGAAGGCGGTTGCTGATGGTATCCGGCCAATGGATGTTGAGTATCTTGCGTAGACAGCTATTTATAAATACTTGTACTTTCTTGACTGTAGTTGTTGTAGTTCTTCAAGTTTCAGCTCCGTACATTAGAACTGTCTTGACGCTCGTATTGAAGATTCTGTCTTTGATATTGGTTGACAGTTGTCTTGAGTTCCATATCTTCTTCAATTGTAGGAATAATAATATAATTACTGAATAGATTTCATGCTATTCTACGATCGTTTCTGTAAAGAACAAATAAGGAATAAAATATAGAAATCACTGTAGTGCGTATTATTGAGTTTTTTTAGTTTCGCGATAGTTTGTAGACACTTTATTTATCCATAATAAATGTACTGAAATAGACAGAAAACAGGCGATTTTATGCCACTTAGTATACGTTTAGGCAGAAGTTCAAGCAGGTCACAGGTATTTGTCAATATAATGTGGAAACCATGTTTCAAGGTGATCTTTTTTGTCTCATCAGTTACAGACTATAGTCAGTGATCTAAAAGTCTTGTTATTTTGAATTCTAATTACCTACTTCAGTTAAAGATAGCTATTATTATAAGGAAAGATGAATGGTAGGTAATAGGGGGTTTGAGTCCCTGAGTGAATAACAACTCTTGGATTCAGGTACATCCAGCTGACGACTCTAAAATAGTGCGAAACGCGCGTCCTGAACTTTACTGTCACCTGCCATCTATATCTGCCGATAATCTTTGTAACTTTAGGCAAATATCGAGGCAATCCGCACAAGACGCACATGTGTCTAAAGAGACTGACAATTACAATCTTAAACATCAATAGAAAAGATTCAGATGATGAATTTAAAATGCGCTAACTATTACTATGTTTATATAGGCCATCAGTTATATATTCAAGCAATTAAATATTGTAAAAGTAGTGATAGTTTCTCTTTTTTAATAATCTATTTGTTTCTATATATTCATTTCATAATAGTTTCCATATAAATAAAGTAAATCGTTATGTTAATCAACTTGGTGACTTGTAGGCTATATAACAAATACTGAAGTGTCACATGTACTTGTTTAAGTTAATTGTTCATAAGTGAGTTAGAAACAAAAATAAAAGTATTGAATTACGACAAATGTTCAATGAAAATTCTGGATTTTTGACATAGATGAAACATATCAGAAGGGGTTTTGTGGAGATTTTAGAAAATTTCAACAGTTGAAATCATGAGTCGATTGAATCTAGACCAGCATGGAAAACCTGGATACACTCGACTGCCGTTTCGTCCTATCGCGGGACTCCTCAGCAGTGCACATTCATGATCCCGCGCCCCTCGTGGGATTCAAAACCAGAACCTATCAGTCTCGCGCGCGAGCACTTAACCATTAGACCACTGAACTGGCCTGCATCCAACGGTGTTAATTTCTAAGTTCAACCAATCCATAAAATTGCGCTACCGTTCATCATTGTCTTCAATGAGTTGATATCTCACAACAAACCTGGTTGAACTCCACTGGTCACGGAGGAGTCCCATACTAGGACGAAACGGCTGTCCAGTGCTTCCTGGTTTTCCATGGTGGTCTAGCTTTTTAATTGACGCATGATTTCAACTATAAATGAAAATGATTAACTGGAAATTCTAAAAGCGACCATTCATGATTAAATTTATTTCTGTGCTATTTTCTTTGAAATTTATGAAAGATAAAAATTTAATATTGTAATACGTCTAAATACGCTCTCATGTGAAAATGCTAATTACATGTTAAAATATATAAAGAAGATATTTTGAACATCAGAAACATTCATTAGTTCGATAAGAATTTGCAAACCATACATTTTTGTTCATTTTATATTGTTTGTTTGAATCTTCCCACTAATGTTTAGAATTATAATTGATCAGTCTCTTATTGGTATACGTGCATCCTGTTAAAACTGCCTCAATATTACGTTGTCACAAGCATTATGAGCAAAGGTGAAGAGTAGCTAGCAGTTGAATCAAGGACACACGTTTTGTCCTATTTCAGACTCGTCGGCTAGATGAACCTGCATCATAGTGTTGATGTTCACTAGGAGACTCTAACCCAGTATCGTTCACTTCATCCCATTGCACAAATCAATGGCTATCAAGATTCAGTAGCTAAGTTGTGTTTGAAGCGAACGGCACTGGGTTCAAGTCTCGTAGTGAACATTAACTCTCTGATGCAGTACATCCAGCTGACGAGTCCCAAATAGGATGAAACGAGCGTCCTGGATTCTACTGTTAACCATCATCCACCTTTGCTTATACACTTGTGGTTTTGGAAATTTACCACAAATCGATTTCAAAGTGTTGTCGATAACAGAAGCATAATTTGAAAATGCATTAATTTTTTCAGCGGTATCATTTACATATTGAATTATTAGTTGCGAATACCGACGTGTACTTCTTCATATTAAGTTTATTAATAGCGCAATTTGGTTTGTTTAAAAGCAAAACTTGAACCATACATTCTTAAGGCATGTATTTCAATAACAAATTGTACTCCATCCACCTTAGTAAAACTAAACAGATATTATAATTTTTTACGTTTACTGCAGTAAACGATAAATAGTATCTGCCTGTTTTCAAATAACTGAATGTTTTTAAGGGTGTCCTATTATTTGAGCTGGTTGCTTTAATTGTGAAGTTTTCATTATCTTTCTCAACAACATCATCAGCACACAATTCAAGAAGAAATGATTCATAAGGATTTCTATGCAGTTAACTAGCTTCTTGCTCTGTTGACCTTTCTTAATGTTTTCTTTGTCTAATATTTCGATGTTTTCCCATTCAACACATATTCACAGTTGCTTATGTCCTTTGATATCAGTCAAACTATGTTGTGGCGTTTAACTGGTAGTTGATATTCATGTCAACGTGAACAGAGTGGGCAGACATTTTGTTACAGTTGTTGCAATTAATTTTGTAGATAACTTTTGGTTTATCACAATTTGTCTTCCTATCCGTCGTGCTGCATAATACTCATTATAAAAATGTGGGCATGGGAGTTACACACAGTCTTCGCGATTTTAATAATCTGTTTGTGATCTCATAGATGGATGGTAGGAATTTAGGTTTGATTATTTTAATGGTTCTTTTTGCTTGATCGGTTTTATAAACATCTGTTGATGAAGTTTTGGATAGTCCACTTTTTTAAAATACATCCATTTTCTCTTTTTTTTCATACAATAACTGTACTGCAATGTATCTTCATTCTTTTAGACGAAGTTTGTATGCAACTTAATTCGAGGGTTGTTGTGTCGTTGGTGTTGTAGTTGAATCTTTTAACAGTGTAGGTTAATTGTCTTGTATTCTTGAATCACTAGTTTTCCTGTGTTGGTCCTAGTGATAAATAGAGCGAAAAATGGTTGTTTGTTATCTTATTTTACCTCCAATGTTAATTTTTTACAATCACAGATGCTGTTGATAAGATTGTAAATCTTTCTAGTCTATGTATTTTGACGATGATGAACTTATCGTCTACATATCGTAGACAAATTCCTAGTTTAATCATCGAAAGGACTAACTTTTTCAGCCACTTCATTACTGCATCCACAATTTATCTGGAAACCAGTGATCACACTGGAATTCCATATATGTATATATAATTGACCGCTGATTTGGAAATATATTGTCAAACATAACTCAGTGAGATTAACCCAGTTTTTACTTTGAGGTTTGGTGTGTTTTGAGAGGTTCATATCGTTGATTATGAGCAGGGATATTGTACTTCTTGCTAAATTTTGTTCGACAAAGTTGAATAAGGTTGTCACATCAAATGATATCATCGGTTCGTCATTGGTGATTTGGACACTTTCGATCTTATCTAAAAACTGTGTTGAAAACTTGGCAAAATAACCATTTGAGTCTACCAGATGTTTTAATATCTTTGATAATCCTCATGACCGGTTGTATGTAGATGTCACTGAAAGTGTGGCTGTTATAATTCTCTCTTATTACAGCCCAGCTATTCCTGTTGCTTAGTATTCTTGGACACCAATTCACTCGACCAGTCCCCCAATCAGAACACGGTTGAACAGGAAACAGATTATATTCCAAATAACAAGGTTAGATGGAAGTAAGCAGAAACACAATGGGAAAAACGTTAGTATATTTATAGTTTTTACATGAGACGATTCTAGAGTGTTTCCCCAAGTATCGACTGGCCAATCGGCGTGCGTCAAAGCAATCGTGCACTGAGCATGCTTTAATCCAATCTATGTCCTGCTAACAGTGGTGATTGGTCTTTTGATGATGTTTGACTTGTTTAATTTCCATCTGCTATAAAACGGATGAAATACAGGTCTGTTTGGCTTCGTTCACCATTGATACTGTTTTATTATCTGTTCAGCTTTGACAAGTTTGTTTAGTCCTACTGGTTTAGATATCTAGTTTTTGAATAGGGATAAATTTCAGTGGTTGACATAAACCTTGGTAATTAAATAGATCCTCGACTTTCTGATTTCAGTCTTTTGACACGTTCTCTCTGTTATGTTCTTTGTCAACCAGAATTATGATTGTGTTCTTCCTTATTTTCACTTTCTTCGAAGCTCTTCGTTCTTTTATAATAATCTGAGAGTACACTTTTTTCCGTCTATGTACGATATCGAAACAATCATTATAAACATATAAACGACTGTCACACACTCAACAATAACCAAACTCATTCAAGGTCAATAGAACAAGAAGCTATTCGACTGTGCATAAATCCATATGAATCATTTCTTCTTGAAAATTGTACTGATGATTTTGTTGAGAAAAACAATGAAAGCTTAACAATAATGAATCCACTTCAGAGAATAAAGCATCTTCATGATCCTCATCCTGAGATACTAATATTCTCTATGATCATCATTGAACGTTAATTTTTGTTTAAAATAGGAAAACAGACATGTTTTTAACCTCAGAAACTGTCAACGATGTTTTGATTCATGATATATGTCACTTCATCTGTAATTAATAATGCATCTTTTTATATTTAAATTTTATCTAGTGGTCAATATATCACATATGAATTGGGTGATATAAGTCGACCTGTAGTTTTAGCACGTGTATGGTTAAATAATCCATTGAATTTTGACAATGTACCAAATGCTATGCTCACTTTATTTGCTGTATCAACATTTGAAGGTTGGCCTGGTCTTTTATATAGGTAATGTTTTATTGTGTATTCAATTATTACTACGATTTGCTTTTACACATAATAAAATACAAGATTGATTGTTTGCTAAGTTAAAAACTAAAAGATTCAAGTGAGATAGAGAATTTATAATAGTCGGTGAAATGTAATTTAGGTTAAAATAAATTCCACAGATTGAAATCATGGGTCAATTGAAGCTAGACCACTATGGAAAACCTGGAAGCACTGGACGGCCGTTTCGTCCTATCGCGGAACTCCTTAGCAGTGCGCATCCACGATCCCGCACTCCGCGGGATTTGAAACCAGGACCTATCAGTCTCGCGTCAAGCACTTAACCAACTAGACCACTGAACTGGCCTGCATCCAACGGTGTTAATTTCTAACTTCAACCAATCCACAAAATTGCGCCACCGTCCACAATTGTCTTCAGTGAGTTGATATCTCACAACAGATCTGGTTGAACTCCACTGGTAGCGGCTTCTCACTAGAACTCCAGGAGTATCTCTTGAAGTCAGTCACTAGTGAGCAGATGATTATTATCCGAAGGGGTTTGTGAAATTCCTAAAATCTCCACAAACCCCTTTTGATAAAATAAATTCATTATGTGAATTGTGGACTAATGTGATTCTCTTTTTTGAAGATTGTATTTTAGTTCAATGCTTAGTAGCAGAAGTGTATTCTATCAATTCTTTTTACGGTTATTAGTTAGTCAGTTAAACTACAATAATACATATCTAAGCTTAATGTTATATTGTAATGTCGAGTGCTATGTCAAACCCACTTGGCTTGTTTTATCTTCTGGATAGACCAATTTATTCATTCTTATTGAGTCACATTTTGACCGGCGAGATTATAATTTATGGACGAACCAATCAGGTATAAGATAACAGGTTTCGGATTTTGGCGGGAAATTCACTTATCCATTTCGCCAAATAGCGTCTTGTCATTTTAGCTGATATCAGTTTATGATGAAAAACCATAAATCTAATTTTTAACCCTAACCATCAACTGCGAATCATAATCTTTATTCTTCAGACTTCTTTATAATCCTCATTTAGCCCTAGTAAGTAGATAGACACTCACAAGGTCACTTTGGCGTCGCTCAAAAGTCGTCCATAAATTATAGTCCCATCTTCTACTCATCACATGTCTGTATCTTTTTTTAAATTGACGCTTAGTGAAAGTGAATATGCTCACATGCCTTCTACGGTTCGTTTCACTTTGCTCTCTATTCTCTCTCCCTCTCACTCACTTCCCTCTATGCTTGTTTTCTGCGTTGCTTGGGGACTTTATTAGTTATTGGCAATACACTATACTTACAACTGGTGTTCTGGCTTTTGAATAGTCTCAAGTAAATTCATAATACTAATACGAGATTCAGCATACGTAAATACTCAGTTAACAGGATGTTATTTATTGGAGTCAGATATAGAGGAGTATAGATTTGTATATTTATTACAATGATTAATCTGCTTTTTATTTCGTTTTTGTTGTTGAATAAATCAACCTGAAACAGGCGACTAAAGTTAGCACTTCAATAAACTTAATACATGCAGAAAAACACCAAGTAGTATTGTCGTGAACAAGAACACGAGTGAGGACAATCGAATATATTGGACACGAAATTACAGAGCATCTCAATAAAATCTGAGAACCATATAGTAAATAGTTGATTTGCAAAATATCTATCCATCGTCTCAATCTTGACTGTTCCTTTTGTAAATATCATAGCCATGGTCTCCGATTTCATTGTTCCTGTATTTTCATACTAATTTCGTTCCGTTCCCGTTCTTTCCTTATCGATCTTCTACTGAAATACATTCTATGCCTGACCGCCGTTGACTTGGCAACTATGTTCGAGAATTTCAATGTTTTGATCATTCATAGGATAATTATTACTACTACCTGATATGTGAGCCAAGCATATAATGAAAAGTATAATCAGAACATTGTTTACAAAAGTTATTCTCTTACATACTTCGTAAGATGTTTGCTTCTTAGCAAAATCTACAAATTCTTAAAGTTCATCATTATAAAATGATTTCCTAGAGTCTATTTTTGAGATGTTTCGTAAGGTTTTGATCCAGACTATTTAATTCAGTATTATCGTATATAATACTGTTATGATAAAGCTAGAAACTCAGCTTCATAACATGAGTGTTTTTAGCGTTACAAAGTATTTATTTTTGTCTCTTAAGAGAGTAATTAGTTTCTTATCAAGAGCGGCTTACAAAGAAACCTCTAAAAGATTTCCATTATGGGTGTGTTCTTTTAAAGAAATTCATTACAAAATCAGACATTGTGAAGTCTTGCCGTATGTTGATTGAGTGAAGATAAACTGCGAAATTTAAAAAAATGTAGGGTCATAATCAATAGAGCTTATGTTCTTGATATGACGCGTATAACTTGAGCACTTGAACGCTAGAAACCTTCCATGTCGCAAATGAAAAGACAGAAGACTAGCGAAAGGAATGTTATTCTAGACAGTGTCAAATTATAGTACAAAACTGTCAGGTACTTATAGTTTTTAGTAAAAACGAAATCATCATTATAGCTATCCAATCTGCATACAGGGTATTATTAGAAATGTCCAATCGGGAAGCTACACGTAGAGATTCTAGAATATTCTTCCAAAAGATGATTTGATGGAATATCTTTGGCTCTTTCTGAGCTTCTTACAGCTTCTTCGAGTTCACCCGTGGATCGTACTCACACTAGTTAGTACCCCTTAGTCACTATTTAGTATTTTGCAGTTAGTCAGTCGTGTTCTGTTACGGGTATGAGGGCTGGTGTCACTTCCCGGCTGCCCACACCATGGAAGTGTATTTCTTGAGGAACCTGAAAAGGAAGTTGGATTAGTGTTGGCCTTAACGGCCTCGGAGCGTGACTGCAGAGCCCAAGGGACAACTGCTTGAGGCCGGTCGCGCACGGCCTTTTCGTGGGAGGTTTTTGACGTGTTAGCTCCGTTCTTCAAAGGGCCTTACCGCCGGAGACGGAGACCCATGGGGTAAGGTGAGGTGTGACATTTTTAGAGTCGACCTTTTCTAACCTCTTCCTTCCTTGTGAGAAGGCAGCATCGCTGCAGATGCTGGTTGTCCGAGGGAAACACCTTACTGCTGTCACACCCCTTTACAGTCAGCAGTACGACTTCGCCCTCAGACTTTGAGTTGCTTGACTGAAATCAATGTTATCTCCAGGTTTTATAAAGCAAAATACAATGACAGACCTTTCAAATTTTAATCGTTTGCAAATTTACATTGATACTCATACATTAAGTACCATGAGCAGTTAGATGCCTAACATCCGACATTATGATCTTAACATTAGATCTAAAGTGTTTATTTAAGATCATTGTTATAATCGTGTGTGAATTCATCTTGAGCAATTATGAAATTAGAATACGACACGTACCTCATGTCGAATAGCATAAAGTAGTTCTTTCAGCTTAAATCAATCAACTATAAAAGGTATTTTAAGATAAAACTCATTTTCCATAAAGCTACTTATATTGATTCTTTCGGTTGAATAATAAAATGTTTGATGAAATTAATTCACATGTAGTGATTACTTTGACGATCGATTAATAAGGTTAAAGATGAACTTTTCATAGATGACTTATATACTGATCATAGTGATTAAGTGACTAAATAACGTTTTATTCTAGTGAATAAATGCAATAATGTATTTGATCATCTTTCTTTAAAAATTATGTCTGATCAAAGTACAATCTATGACAAAGTTAGTTATGCGACAAAGCAATACTCTTTTGAAAAAAAAGTATTACAATTAGGAAGAGCATTATTTTAGACTAACTTTTGAGACTTTCGACAATATGACAGATAAACTATCATCATATATTGATTGTATGATATAAAGAAAACTTTAAATATTAAATGTTTTGGAAAGAATTCGAAATCTTAAAACTTATATGTTACCCTATTACCCTTCGTGGAGTAGCATAGGCCGCCCAACAGCACTCTTTATTCAACCCTGTTTTGGGCAATCCTTTCTTTCCAGTTGTTTCCAATTATTAATCATCCTTTTTGTATATCTGCTTCTATTTCCCAACGTAATATGTTCTACGGCTTTTCTCTTTTCCGCTTCCCTTCAGGATTCAATGTTAGAGCTTATCTCATGATGTAGTTTAGTGATCTCCGTAATTTATGTCTTATTCACTCCTAACATCTTTTTCTCAGTTCTTTAGCTGGAAGCTGGTTTGTCCTCTCCCACCATAGACTGTTGCTGATGCTTTTTCAATGATATAATTTAGATTACTGTTATAAAATCATGAGACTTGAATAGTAATAATTTATCTTATGGTACTCTTCTCATTTTTTTTTCAAATTAAAACCAAGGAATGTTGTTTAAAATGCAAGTTCAATAGCTAACAATATTCTCTGCGCTATTACTTGTTCAATATATAAGAAAAACAGTTATATATTGTCGATCTACCTATTTTCTATGTAAATTACATTCACCTATATGATTATGGAATGTCGGTAAGATTATAATTTATGAACAGCCTATGAGCAACATTAAATTGACCTTGAGAGTGTACACCTAATAACTAGGACAAAATGAAGCTTATAAACCAGTGTGAAGAATTAGAATTATAATTTACAGTTGATGGTTAATGGTTAGAAATTAGATTTGGGGGGTTTTCATCACGAACTGACATCAGATATAATGCCAAAACTCTATTTAACTAAATGAGTCAATGAATTTCGCGCCAAAAATTCAAGACCTTTTATCTTTAATCATCTGATTACTTTTACTTACTTACTTTACTTATTCCTGTTACTCCTAATAAAGCATAGGACACCGACCACCATTCTCCAACCCACTCTGTCCTGAGTCTTCTTTTCTAGTTCCATCCAATTCTTGTTCATTTTTCTCATGTCTATCTCCATTTTCCGGCGTAATACGTTTTATGGTCTTCCTCTCCTTCTTTGGTCTTGAGGATTCCATGTAAGGGCTTGTCTTGTGACGCCTGAAGTCCCTTCGGGAGCTACTGCCGGTCCCAAGCCCGGATAAAGAAGAAGGACTGGACACGGGGTTAGCGACCCCATCCCGTAGAAAACTAACTCACTAAAAAAACGCTAACCACCCAAAAAAAATTATTCAACCATCTGATTAGTTCGTTCGTAAATTATAGTTTCGTCGGAATTTATTCAATATTTATTAATCTATATAGTAATAAAATGATAAGAAACTATTCATAGATCCATTAATAAGTTTCTAGTTCTAGTTATTTTAATAATCAAGTCATTTCCATTATTAAATATTCATTCATTATATGTTATTGATCTATATTATTTCATTTTATTAGATCAATTGACTCTTATGCTGAAGATTATGGTAGTGTTTATAATAATCGTCCAATAGTTGTTATCTTCTATGTGGCTTATATCATTGTCATAGCATTTTTTATGATTAATATATTTGTTGGTTTTGTTATTGTCACATTTCAACAAGAAGGTGAACAAGAATATAGAAATTGTGAACTTGATAAAAATCAAGTAAGTTTTATTATTCTATTTTGTTTTCTTTAGAATAAATTGTTTTGGTGATCGATATTTTCGAGCTCTATTATTGTATGTTGAATGGTACCAGAATATTGTCAGTGATAAGAGTCTCGTAGAGCATGATCGGTTTATGTCTCTCGGTCTATTTCGTGACCATTTTATCTGTCTGTTGTTCTGATTTAGGTTTGTCAGTTTGTGACATAAAACATTAATCTCTTTTTATCACATGTGGTGTGGCAACTCGAACTGTTGTACGTACGTACGAAGTTCTATGTTGTTACTGACTGACTGACTGATCACACATTGATCCTTTCATCTACTGTGGTGTTATGCCTGGATCTCATGGACGGCATTTGTGGAAGGTCCATTGTGTCGTTAATAATAGATGATACAATTCATGACATAGAACGTACTTACTAAGTTGCATCAAAATATCAATTATTTGTGAAATATCGTTATTTATTATGAGTATTACTGTTAAGTTCAATAATGTTTGTGAGATAATGTATGTGTAATTAAAATAGTGATATAATAAGTCCTAGTATGGGACTCCTCAGCAGTGCGCATCCACGATCCCGCACCACGCGGGGCTCGAACCCAGGACCTACTAGCTTCGCGCTCGACCACTCAACCATTAGACGACTGAGCCGGCGTCCAGTGGATGTTATTGTCTAACTTCAACCAATCCACGAAGTTGCGCCACCGTATACCATTGTCTTCAGTGAGCTGATATCTCACAACAGACCTGGTTGTGCTCCACTGGTAACGGCTTCCCACTAGAACTCCAGGAGTATCTCTTGAAGTCAGTCACTAGTGAGCAGATGATTATTATCAAAAGGGGTTTGTGGAGACTTTTAGAAATTTTCACAGATTGAAATCATGAGTCAATTGAAGCTAGACCACCATTGAAAACCTGGAAGCACTGGACGGCCGTTTCGTCCTAGTATGGGACTCCTCAGCAGTGCGCATCCACGATCCCGCACCGCGCGGGACTTATGATTTCAATCTGTGAAAATTTCGAAAAATCTCCACAAACCCCTTCTGATATAATAAATCCACAACTATAACTATAATTCAGATAATAATCCGAATGGAGACAAAGTTCACGATTTTTCGAAATTAGATTATATCGTCGAAAATCGTTTCGTGTTCACACGTTGGGATCACTAATTCTCTAGTGGCTTTGCTTCGTTAATCGATCATCTCGGCAACCGTTATAATATAAATTCTCAACAGTGTTTAAAATCAGAAGGAAATAAGAATCGGCTACTATAGTTTATTAGCGGATAGCTCAGATCACAAAGCTATAAGCACATCGAGTGAATTGAAGCGGAGAGGCGAACAAGTATATACGAGCAAATAAATAGGTAAATTTATTATCGAATTGCATAAGGGTGCAGCAAGGCAAAGCAAAGGTTAATGATAGGATTTTAGTACATACATACATGGGGAGGGGATGAATGGTCGAGCGATATTTAAGCAATCAACATTTTATCTAGAGTCTGTCATGTGGTCTAGTTGATCATAACGGCACAAAGAAATATGCGAATTGTCACTATTCCAATAAAATTGTCTGTTAAGTAAGTTAATAAAAGCGCTTAACCAAAATTAACCATAATCGAAATTGGTTGTAGGATAGTTGCTATACATTAATTTGTTATTACAAATTTGCTGTGTTTGATCACAGTATGACGAAACTACTTGTATGTCACAAAAATACGACACTAAGTGATCCGTTTACTTTCTTGAATGGTTAAAGCTATCTAGAATATAAAAAATGTTACTTAATGTGATAGTCAGTGAAACAATATTACTGATTAGTGTATGTGTTTTAAGCAGAAGTGGTTGGTGGCTGGTTGTGAATAACATGATGGAGTTTCAAGTGAACTGTACTGAGTTTGATTTTCGAGGTAAACATCTACCCGGATGAAGGTATATGCAGATGGTGAAACGTGAAACTTGTATTCCACTGCCAGCCACTAACCATCTCCGCTCATAACGCTTTTGACTAAAGGCAATATCGAAGCAATCCGTTTAACATGCACACATGTCAATAAAGATTGACCAAAACATTAATAGGACGATTCATACAGCCAAGACAAAGATAAATATTCAAAGATGGATAGTGGCTAGCAGTGGAATCCAGGATGCGCATCACTTCGTCCTATTTGGGACTCATACCTGCACCTCAGAGTTGATGTTCACTCCGGGACTCCAACGCATTCCCGTTCACTTTAAATTCCTTCGCGTTGTCCACTTAGCTACTGACTCAACTCTGAGATACAGGTACATCCAGCTGACGAGTCCCAAATACGACGAAATGCTCGTCCTGGATTTCACTGCTAGCCACTATTCATGTTGGCTTATAGAGCTTGTGACTGAAGGCCATATCGAGGCTAACTGGTTATATTTTGTCATATTGACACACACACAAAAAAATAATTTATTCAAGGTCTCATCCAACTAGTTATGTAATCAGTACATAGTGCCTATTGATATTGTGTGTTTTTGGTTATCTTCATCTTCTTTTGTTTTGTTTTTTCAATCACCATTGTAATTCACCTAAACATAGACACAAATATCAACTAACATTTTATGTCTTATAAGAGTATGTCTTACTTTTCTAATGATTTCTTATAAATTGAGTATGTGTGCTTAAGCTTATATATATAGTTCTGTTAATAAGACTAATAAGCTTATAGAATAACTAATGACTATACAAATGGATGCATGTTGCATTATATCAATCTACCTATAAATAAAGGTGATAGGTTTCTTATAATCTAATCATAGAAGAAGAAGAATAATAAAAAAGAAACATACCAAATTGTCATAAACAAAAAACCAATCAGATTGTGCAAGAACCACATTGTTCGATCATTTCAAATCATAACAATAATAAGGCATGATTAGTTATTTGAAATGAAGTATATCATCTTGAATTGACTGTGGAATGTTTATTATTATCATTAATATTAATATCAATTAGACTTACAATTATCCATGTAAGTTAATTCAGTTCTAAACTCATGATCCATTCATTATAATTAGATCCAATAGAATTAGATCCTATTGAAAAGTGTAATTTATTCAAATCAATAAAGGATCATTATTCATAATAATGGAATGGATTCAAATAATGATCTTATTACAATTCCTCTTATTATTATTATCAGGATATAATAATCATCTTAATAATCCATTATTAATTCCAAAAATTTCATTAAAATCAATTAAAATTCCTTTAAATGATTATTTCATAAAATATTCCAAATCTACTTTAATATCATCATTGTTATCCCTCTCATCACTATCCCCATCATCATCATCACCCTTGAAAGGTCATCCATTCAATAATGTTTGTTTATTATTACATCTACCTAATATAAAATCAATAAATCAATCTCAAATCGATTTAATAAAAATCTATATAAAATCCAATCATATTTTAGATCTTAATAATAATAATAATAATAATAATAATATATGGGCTATTTTTCAATTAGATCATTCACAATCTTATTCATCATTATTTGTAACATTAAAATATTTAAATCAATCTTTTGATCATTATTCTATTCAATATCCATTATATCAATGGAAAGATTATATATATATATTTATGTTGACAATAATCAATAATGGGGATAATGGGGATATTGATTATCAACTATTAAGTGAATTATCCTCTTCTATATATCCATCTTGTTTATTAGATAATAATCATTTTAATGATTTATCAAAATTATGTATTTCATTAATTCATTGTAATGATCCTTTCATTGAAAATATTCAAGAGATTAATTCTGTTCATAATGTTGTATTAAGACGTGTAAGACGTGATATATCGTCATCATCATTGAATGTTTCAAATAGTAGTACACCAATGAATGAAGAAACAAAACCTGGACTTAGTCCAGGTTTATTAGCTGTCATAATAATTATACCAATCTTAATTATTATTGGATTAATTATAGGTGGTTATTATTTATATCGTTGGTTAAAAAAACGTCGTGCATCACATGGGATATATCAACCAAATTATATGGAAAATGAATCTAATATTATAAAACAACAACCTGAACCACATACCATAGTGAAAATACCCAATGAAGAAAGATTAATCTAAATATAATTAAGGATTTGATTGATTCATTTAATACTTTTTTTTTGTGGTATTTTTTTTCAATTGTATTATGTGGTATACTTGTTTCTATGGTTTGTTTTATTCAAATTGTATAAATGAAATATATAAAATATATATTCTCTATTAAAGTTCTTATTCCCTTTTCCCCCTTTTCTCCCTCTCTCTCCCTCTCTCTCTCCCTACATATATATATATATATCTCCATCTATCTATATATATATTTAGCGTAAATGTATTGAATTTGCATTGAAAGCTAGACCAGTGAAACGTTATATCCCAAAAGAAAATTTTCAATATAGAATATGGTGGTTTATTACATCACAACCATTTGAATATTGCATTTTTATATTTATATTAATTAATACAATATCATTAGCAATGAAAGTGAGCTACACCCCTGTTTTAGTTTTTCTCTTTTGTATTGTTTTTCTTTTTTATTGATTATTTCATGATTGTTTATTTGTTTATTGAATTAATGAATGAATTAATTATTGTTTCATTATTCATTAATTGGGATACATTAATGATGATGTTGTTGTTGATGTTTAATATATAAATAAATAAGCAATGAAATCATTATGGGAAAGTATGATGTCTTATAATTGTATATATATATATATTCTATCTGTTTTAATGTGTGTTATCGATTATGTTGCTAATGTATAACATGATTATCAAAAAGGGATTTTGTGGAGATTCTAGAAATTTCAATCGTTGAAATCATGAGTCAAAAGAAGCTAGACCATCATGGAAAACCTGGATGTTTCATTACACGGCCGTTTCGTTCTATGATAGGACTTTTTAGCAGTGAGCATTCACGATCCTGCCCACTTCCCGCTAGATTCGAACCTACGATCTATCAATCTCGTGTGCGAACGCTTAACCATTAGACCACTGAGCTGGCCGGTATTCAATGGTCCTAATATCTAACCTCAACCAATACTTGTGGATAGGCACTGTAGAGGAGATTCAAACCCACGATCTATCAATCTCGTGTACGAACGCTTAACCATTAGACCACTGAGCTGGCCGGTATCCAATGGTGTTAATATCTAACTTCAACCAATACTTGTGGATGCGCACTGCTGAGGAGTCTCATGCTTGGTCGAAACGGCCGTCTCGTGCTTCCAGATTTTCCATGGAGGTTAAGCTTCAATTGACTCATGATTTCAACTATTGAAATTTCTATCTTTTGAACAAAGATGGATAGTGACTAGCAGTGGAATCTAAGACTCCCGTTTTGCCTTACTAGTCACTATCCATATTTGTTTAAAAAGCTTATCACTTAAGGCTATATCAAATAAATATGCACAGGATGCATATATGCCAACATGAGACTGATCATTTGAAATTCTAAAAAGCAATCGGAAGATACAAGTAAAACAACACCAAGTGAATTCTATCTTTTATGACTACTTTATTTTACTTTATGTTCAAATGAATTCCCATTGTGTATATTATCAGTTGTTTGATAAGCTCTGATACTTTATATCAAATAGAAGTATGAGTGTTATTGAAACTTCCAATCTACTTATATTATAAGTATCCCTATATTTGTTGAAATGATTATAGTATTTTTATTCCTTAAATCAAAATGTAATTACATTTGTACGCTTGATATAAATGATTAAATACATTGGAAATTATCGCTATTAAAAGGGTTTTTGTCGATATTATGGTAATCTCAATAGTTCAGATCATGAGTGAATTGAAGCTAGACCACCTTGAAAAACTTGTAAGCCATTGGACGGCCGTTTTGTTCTATTGTAAGACTCCACACCAGTACGCATTCTGATATTAATCAACATATGCTCACTAGTAATTGGTTCCAAGAGGTATTTCCTGGAATTCTAGTAGGAAGAAGTGTTCAGTGGAGTTCAACCAAGTTTGTTGTGAGAAAGTAACTCACTGATGAAAATGATGGATGTGTCGCTCAATTTCGTGGATTGGATGAAGTTAGACATTAACGGTATTGGGTGTAGGCCAGCTCACTAATCTAGAAGTTGAGCGCTCGTGCGCAAGACTGATAGGTTCTGGTTTCGAATCTCGCGACGCGGGGTATCGTGGATGTGCATTGCTGAGGGTTCTGACGATAGGTCGAAACAGCCATCTGGTGCTTCCAGGTTTTCCATGGTGGTCTAACTTCAATTAACTCATGATCTCAACCACTGAAATTATCGTTATATCTTACAAAAGTTCATAACCTATTCAACGAATGAAAATAGTTTTACTAAGAAGTATTACAAACTGAGTTTATAAGCGATTTTGATTTATGATCGAAATATGATCAATATTTTAATGGTCAACTTAACTGTTTAATCTTCCAATATGAGTCGTGAATTATTGAACTTATTATTCATTATTACAAGATTAGGTATTGAAACTGTATAAGTTTGTAAAAATTGTGATAATCTGTTACTTTAATCTGGAACTATTGATCATAATTACTCTAAACTATCTTTTTGAACTGTTTATATTGTGTTATGCTAGTGAATCAATGATATTAACTTTCAATCTGATAATCATTAGTTATATCTGAAGTAAATGTTTTCAATATCAAAACTAATTGTTCATTTGAGATTTGTTGACTGATGTCCTAATAGATTTGCAAATTAAATCAAGATATCAGATGTGTTTTGTGGAGATTATAGTAATTTGAATGGTTAAGATCATGAGTCAGTTAAAGCTAGACCAACATGGAAAACCTGGAAGCACTAAACGGCCGTTTCGTCCTATTGTGAGACTTCTAAGCAGTGCGCATCCACGATCCCTCCCGCCGCTCATGAAATTCAAACCCAGGACCTACTGGTTTCGCGTGCGAGCACTTGACCACTAGACCACTGAGCCGGCATCCAATGGTGTTAATGTTTAACTTCAACTAATCCACGAAATTGAACGGCACAACCACCATTGTCTTCAGTGAATTACTATCTCACAACAGATCTGGTTGAACTCCACTGGTCACTACTTCTCACTAGAACTCCAGGATATACCTCATGAAGCCAGTCACTAGTGAGTATATGTTGATTAATATTAGATGGGTTTTGTGGAGATTATAGCCTGAACAAATAGCATATAATTAAATAGTCTTAGTTAGATAATCTTATTAATATATATGAAGAAACATTTTACTGATAATCACACCATTTGCCAATGACTCTGAAATTTGATACAATTGTTCAATGAATAAGAATTTTTGTCTAAATTTGATCGAATAGTTTCACAGTATTTGAGCGTTGAGTTAATGTGAAACATTAAAGAGGAAGAATGTTGTATTTGTGAAAATCTCAACGAATGAATTTGAAGTAAATCTAACGTTTTCCGTGGCAATTTGATTCTCCGGTTCACTGAATGACTCAATAGATCATCCAATGAATGTTAATAATGTTTAAAGTAGGTATTTGTTTTAGTGTAATATGAGACATGTGGTGGTGTAACAAAAAATGTATAGATGAAACATCAATGCAACTGAATGTGAAGGTGAAGGAATACCAACTAAGGTTAAAGCACGTTCCTAAATCTTCAGTTGATGTAAGAACACTCGAGAACGAATCAACAATAGCATTACACTCAATAAAATCGGGTCATACAATTGATTTCAATGGCACAAGAATCTTTAAAAAAAGGCTTTAATTTTTACATAGAGAGACTAACAGCCGATTCATCAGTATAGATAGACATTACATAGGATGTTACACAAATTCTTGTACTTCTGATCTCATGATCATGCTATTGGTTTCATGAAGTTTGTTTTAAAGTGAATCGTAAAAATTGCTACTCATAGAAATTAATCATGTCAATAATTTTATTCATCATTATTGTAAATTTTTTTGTGTTTAACATTGAGGATATTCATTGTCTACTCCGTAATTTCAATCTTTTCTAAATACCAGAAGGTTGTTTTGTTGTTGAGGAGTCTCATATTCGGACGAAACCTTCATTCAGTGATTCCAAGTTTTCAATGCTGGTCTAACTTCAATTGACTCATAATTTCAACTATTGAAATTTTCTAAACATGTTTAATAAATTATCATCTACTTTATAAAATCTTATGTAAATATAAAGGACTGAACTATTATCATTTGATACAAATACTAAATTCTTATTTACATAGTAACTATCATCATTTCCTGATAAAGGTGCTACGAGTACTAACATATGATAATAAGATAATATTATTCATAAGAAGGACTTAAATAAATGGTTGTTCTGTTTGTCAGAAGGGGTTATCGGCCTCGTGACTTCCGAAGGAAGTCGGCTTTCATCATGAGGCATCATAACTTTTCTAAATGAAGACCTACTGACTCATTGGACAGAGTTTAAATGGTATGAATCATTTTTTCTGGTTAGCGTTTTTTATCGAGTCAGTTTTCTACGGGATGGAGTCTCTAACACCATATCCAACCCTCCCCCATTATCCGAGCTTGGGACCGGCAGTAGCCCCCGGAGGGACTCCAAGTGGAGTTATTTTAGCAATTGCCATTTGTTAGGTGTTTTATGTAATTCATTTAAAGTTCTGACAAACGTTAATTAACCGGTTATATCAATTGTGTTTTGTTTACATTTATGACACGTTATGTCATAAATGTCATAATCTCCAGAACATTCATGAAGTAAAAGGCACAATATGCAGAAATTGAACGAAGTATAAAATAGGTAACTGTAAGTTACTATTATGTCATTGTACCCTATGTATTTGATATGATGGAAAGAAAAGCCAATCTTAGATTGATTTACTCATGATGAGTTTTGGTTCAACATTACTTCCGTTCTGATTCAATGTGATGATTATTCAGTGGAGTATTCGTTTTTGTTTCCTCGTATGATCTTTTTATTCTCTATAATATACGATATTCTTGTATTCCATTGATATGAACTATGCTCTGTATGTGATTTATTATAACTGAGTATGTGATTTAATTCTAATTATTAATCAAAATGGGTTTAAAATCAATATGTAAATGAGTGCATTTTCGACTAGGGTCATCGTCGTCACTGATACCAGTCTTTGTGTTCTTACTTTCGCGTCGTGCGAATTGCCGAGGTCCCTTCGTTCCGAGTATAAGTGATTAGCGTTTTCCGACACAACAATCAGCGACGACCAGATATAAAAATATTCTGACAGAAACTTCTAGAAACCAAAAAAAGAAAAGAAAAAACCAGTCCACTGAACAAATTATAAATTCATTTCACTATATTTGAATTACTCTCTTATCTGTAATTCTGCATCGATTTTAATGTTAAAATGAAAACATTTGCAGTTAGTTCAACTTGCCAATATTCATATTTATTGTTCATTGTTTGTGCCCAATTCCTGTCATACTATTTCGTTTAAATATTGAAGAATATTCATATATATATGAATCATTTAATCCAGCTGACGA